TGAGGGAGAAAAAAAGCATGTTACATATGTAGAAAAAATGTGGAAAACCTGTCCGTGAGTGAGATTCACCGCAAGAAGGAAAACAATACAAGGCATGAGGTGACTTCTTCGGTCACTGATCCTTGAGCTCTACAACAGAAACTGACTGAACAAGTGTTCAGTAGAAAAAAAAGACATGATAAACACTACTTCATGGCTGGTAAAGAAACCTTGTCTTTCCTGTGCGAGCGGAGAGCGAAACCTTCAGGAAAACAAAGTTAAACCCTCCAGTCAGCCTCGGAGGCTGTACTCCTCCTGCATGAACCAACAGCACTAAGGTGTGGATTTGAACTCTCTAAGCGAAAAAGAAATAGCCTGTTGAACCTGCCCTGTTCCCTCCACTGACAGTCCACCCACACTGCAACAAGCCCGCCCCACCCCGAGCTCACCTGGTTACAGGAGCAGAAGTAGGTTGTGTTTACCTTGCTCAGCTGTCACAGGTCACTCTGAGCCTGGATACAACACAGTTTGGGCATTTTGTTTGTTTTTTGCCTTTTTTTTTTTTTTTACTCTGGGCTTTATTCATTGCTGCTGTAGGACTCACACACCTGTTGTCAGGAGGGAGGGAGAGGCAGAGAGAAGATTACTCACACAGACGACAGAGGGAGGTTGATAAGTAAAGTTTATGCCATCACAAAGCGTTCGGGGGGAGACACAACATGTCATAGACAGACACCTCCAACAGATGAAAGCTACCTGGGATTAAAGTAGCTTAAAGGACTCTGGTTCATAACAACTCTGGTTTTTTTTCCGTACTTTTGGACATTTTTTTTTTTATTTTTTTTTTTTTACCAACAATGAAAACATTGTTCTCTCTCTGCAGAGATCTAGAAATATAGGTGACATCACTTCAATAAAGTCAGTCAGGGCAATAAACATGATCAGACAGGTTGTAGACAACACAACAGGTACGGCCAGAATTATCTAAACCACTTTATATGGAGGTCAAACTCAAAGTGTGCACACCTGAAATGTCCCTCTTTAACAGGAAAACTTTGGAGCACAACCTCAAGTCTTTCCCTCTTTCTCTTCAAAATAAGTCGTGCAACCTGCTCGTCAAAAAAAACATCCTGATGAGTACGAGTTTGTTTCTACGGCCAAAACTACATGAGTAAGACCCAAGTTGTAATAAACCAGAATTCCATTTAACATCCACAAACAAAAAGATGAATACGGGCATTCCACTAACGCGCGTAAGTGGAAGGTGCAGCTTTTAAAACACTGACGTTAACATCAACCTTTTCTGAGTTTATTGCTTTTAATTTTTTTACCCCACCTGGACCAGTTGAATGACATGAAGTAACTGAGAAGGACGTCTATGTCAAGCACCGCTGTAAAAGCTCCCTGTTTTGTGGGTTTTCCTGTGTCTACTGTGCAACTAGTTCTCGTATAAGTAACTGTGCAGGACTAGTAGCGGCCTGTTCTTTCAGAGTCGTAGTCCAGAGTGTGCAGCGGTGCAAGAGAGTGGGACTGTAACAGTGACTACGTCTAAGTAAGTACTTCTTCACACGGTTTCACGCTCATGCTAAAAATCAGTGTTTTGCTAACAGCAAGTGTTTCCCCTCTGGGTCAACCCCCACCGCTTACTTCCTGGGCGGGGTCGGAGACTTCATGAATCTGGGCGGGGTTGGAGACTTGAGCTGCGAGGTGGAGTCGGGGATTTTCGGGTCGGGGATTTGTGGGGTCGGGGATTGGGGGTTGGGGTTGGAGACTGGGGATTGGGGTGATGCCGGAGTCGGGCTCTTCAGCGATGCTGGGGTGTGGGACTTGGAAGGTGGGGGGTCGGGGTGTGGGGAGCGGGGACTTGGGCGGCATAGGCGTGGTCGCAGGCTGTAGCGGCGGGTGTGGCCATTCTGGGCTGTACCCAGTTTGGGCTCGGGATCTGCTCGCCGTGCTTGTAGACCGCTGACGGGATCTCGACGAACTCGCCGCCGTACTTGTTCCGCACGTTGAATGCTGTACTTGCCAGAGTCTTCGGGAGTGACTTTGGTGATGACGAGGCTGGCAAACTTCGCCGCGTCAAACATGACCCTGGTGTGCTCGGTGGAGGTGACTTCCTGCTCGTGTCTTGAACCGAGGTGATACCTCAGGGTCGGCTCGCCCCACACGGTGCAGGTCAGGCTCAGGGACTGGGGAGGGTCGACGAGTCAATCTCAAGTCCACAATTTATCTAAAGAGCGATTTTTAACAATGTCAGGTTTTGATTTGTATTAAGTTCATGGTAACTAACATACGAATGCTTAATAAGATGAGAGTGTGTGAAATTACTAATGCGTAAATATGACCCTCTTTTCCTTACAGCATAGAGTTCCCAGCTCTGAAAGGGTCGGGACCTCCCCCAAAAGGCACGAGAGAAAATACTGAAAGGATAGGAACATATATTCTAGCTGTGACTATGCTGAGGTCCATTTATATGCGTATCAGAGAACCACATAAACATGATTAGACATTTTTAAACACATTTTTGAAGTTCACATAATGATAACAAACAATTGACTCAACTCGGAGGGGGTTTTATAGTATTTCTTATCTCAATACATACATTTTACAGTAAAACTTAGACCGACAAGGTTATTACCGATTTGTTCCAGCAGTCAACTTCCAGTAGTTATGGTATAACAGCACTGGGACCTTTAACTACACGTATTCACTCCGCTTAACCGTTAATTAAGCGTTACATTGACGGCCGTTATCTTTCTTAGAATTAGTAACCAAACTTTGCAAAGATGAAAACATTTTAATTAAATGATAATTAAAGCCTGGATACTTCAGCGCGCACACACCTGAGGTAACTGTCCGGCACTGTGCAGGAAAATGTTTACGTGTTGCTTAGCAACAGTCCAGCTGCCGCAACTATTTGTGTTTGCATCGCCAAATAAATGATAAAATAAACAACCAGATCATAATCCGTTGTTGCTTATTTAACTAATATTATCACATGTTGTATAAAAAGTAACATCACACGAGAAGGGAGTGATTGTCGTAAACCTGGCGGCCTCGAACCTCGTACCATCACCCACTCCCTCTCATGTGATACGGGATTAAATGACTCTGAAGTTATAACCTGTGACCACCGTCGCCCTGAGACCACGGGGCACAGTGGTTCTTAGCTTTGTTTTGGAGGTTTAGAACCCTGCCCGGAGGCATCCAGACTACAAGATATCTGGTTTAGGGTAAAGTAGTAAATAAGCTTGTTCTGTAGGAATGCTGCCAGGGCAGGAGCAACTCGTAGGACAAGTGTAACCCTGGCCGATGTACTGCTGCAAACAAAACAACCTACAACAAAACTTATAATTTAGCGTCATCATTTTCATCACAGTGACGTGTTGATCGATTTAATTAGAGTGTGAGACATCCTCACCTTCTCTTCCATGATGGTGACCACGTCAGGCAGACCACCGACCACTCTGCCGCGGTCTGAGGAGAGACAACACCATGTGTGTCACGTCTGCACCGACTACAGCGGACAAACATTACTCTACTGTAGTGAAGAATATCAGCCTGTTTGCATTGTGAGTGAAGTAAGACCCACCTGCCCAGTGTAAACAAGGTGGAGGAGTTTCAGAGGGAGAGGAAGCAGGAATGTAAAGCGTCTGACTCTACTTGCCTTGAAAGCAAATAACTCTAACAAACGTAACTTTTTAAATTTAGGTTCAAAAGTCCCTGAGGAGTGATCTCTCACTCACAGAGTCGGTGTAATAAATAATGACATTATACCACTCTTCTCGCAAATGCAGCTGCCCTAAAAGATAAAAGACAGAGTGCATGATTAATATAATTTGGACAAAATGAAAGACCACATTTTCACAAACTGCTGCACCTTCAAATAACTTACTTAAGTCTCAGGTACTCCTCATAGGCATCGGTGTACGCTGCAAAAGAAAATAATCTCATGACAACTGACTTTCAGTCACCAAACTTATATAGTTAACTCGAAGGCTATAAGATTAAAAAGTAAAAATACAAATAAATAAAAACGCCTTAATCAAAATTTTTTTTTACCTTGTCCAGACAGGTCAAAGGTCCTGGGTGAGTCTTCACGCCGTCTGAGATCTCGATGGGTTGTAGTGACCCTTCTCCCTTATCGGACGGGCACAGATCTGCATCCAGGCCATCTCTGCCGTGCCTCCGACCTCATCTTCTCAGAGGAGGCGATCTTAGGGGACTCCCTCCCTGCAGGTTTACGTCACAGTGTTTTAAATTCATACCGATTCTTAGAGAGTTTAACATTTCCTCCACACGCCGACAAACAGTAAATGAATTCAGATATTTAGATTCAGACAGGAGGCAGAAAACACCTGCTGATGAGTCTCCAGAACTGTGAGACACATTAAAGTCTTTGATTTAGTCTTGATTGACTGTTTGAACTGTACACAAAGTCATATAATATTGTATAATCTAGTATTGTTGTGCGTGCGTGTGTGTGTGTGTAGGTGACTACAGAGGTGCGTTTCACATGATGTGTTCTGTAACATCTCAAACATTCCTGTTATTTCATTAGATCAGAGCAGTTTTTAAAGCCCCTGAAAACCTGTTTTCAAATCTTAAACATTTCTCTACAGCAGTAAATACCAATGACTAAATAAACAACAAGTAAAGTTCACGCTCAGAATCAGTTTGACCCTTAAAAACTCTGATTCATCACGACCTTGTGGGTGTGGTTTTATCGTATTTGATAAAAGCAAAAAGTATAAACGTATATATCTGAACCCTACAAAGTCGGAGTCGTATAAATCATTTAAACTTGTACTTGTGTTTCCAGACGGTCTTCATCTCCTCTGTGTAGTAGTTCATGTAGCACTGCAGCCTGATGCCCTCTGGAGTACACTGCAGCACCAGGTCAGAGGCAGAAGCACCTGAAACACAAACAAACAAACAAACAAACAAACATGAACACACAGTCACAGACAACCAGGAAGGCAACATGTGTGTCCCGATTCTGTGCTCTTTCCCTACTTAGAAAATAAACACTATATTTAGTTTTATATTCCACATAGTTTCCAGTTTTTGTTTGTGTCAAAATGTTTTTAACTTGGAGTATTTTTGGACATAAGTTGTTGATGCTGGGGAATTACTTTTCCCCTTCTAAGATTTATTTCTAATATCAAATTTGAAGTGTTTTGTTTTTTTTCCCATGCACTTCTACTCTGGAGGAAGTTAGGTCACGTCAGGTTTATTTACGTTGCCCAATATCACCTCAAGGGGCTTTCGTGTTTTTCTTGGGAGTGAGAGTGTCAGGCCTTGAGGCTAAATCAAGTCAGAGCTGATGGAAAGGAAAGAGGAGGTGTTGGATTCACTGTAGCTCTGTAAAGATAAACTTTACAGTAGATGTCAGGAACTCACTTGCATGGTTTGCACCAGTGCATTATGGGCCATTAACAAGCCAGTCAGGCACAATCAACGCTGAATGACACCGAGTGTGAGATGTGAGATGTTTAAAGGATCAAACTCACCGGCGATCTTGGCGATGGCATTGATGATGTCGTCAAACACTGCAGATCAAAGACAGAGGAGGACATGTTAAATACTGAATAAAGGATTTTTAACAAGAACAAAGAGCCAATTCTGAACGATATAGAAACTGACCGTGGCCTGAAATGTCAATGGTAGATGTGTCCTTTCCTCTGTCGTCGCCGAGCACGGCCTTGAAAACACCCTGATCTTTCCTGGAGAACTGAGAGAACAAACAAGGAACACGTCACACGTCATGTAATAAAAGAAATATATGATTAAAACAAACATTTAAGAAAACTAATGAGATAATAATTGCGTAACTTAGATTAATGAATACATCTATTCTCAAAACAAATCACAGAGAAAATCCATGTCAGAGTCGTTTCGCTTCCTCCAGGTTAAAAACAGCAGCTGATTGATTATTCATGCATTTTTTAATCTATTTTATTTTATAAGTTAACTTCAAACGTGTGTCATGTGTTGACTTGTAGTTTTTAACATGTAGGTTAAAACAATAAAGAAACAAGCTCGTGCATCTGTATGTGAGTAAATAAACATGACGCGGTTCTGCTGATGTGTTATTATGGAGTACGTAGATCAGCGGGTTTCCACCGCCGCGTGGACGACGTTGGTGCTGCAGCAGTTACCAGAGGGAGGGGAAGAGCGCAGGCTCCCGACATGACGTTGGGGGGAGTTTCTGGAACAATCTCATCGTCCTCTTTGTACCAGTGGAAAGTCGTCTCCTTCTTCACGTTGGCCACCTGACACAAAAACAGGAAACACGGGCGATAGATTCATTTGAAGAGTGAAGAAAAAAAATAAAAAAGGAAAGATACGCCTTCAAACAACTAATAAAAACCCTCATCGCTAAATCTGCTTTAAAATGATTATTAAAAAGGGACTGGAATATTTCTTTGGTACCTTGCAGGTGAGCATGACGGTACAATCCTCAGTGACAGTGAAATACAGATACTCAGAGAAATGTGGACCTGGAACGACAAAGTGGAATCACACACACATCCGAATATTATCTGTCCTTAAGAACATGAAGAGCAACAACGAAGGCAATAAAAACCAGAGCATGGATTTTTCTAATATCCTACCAACACAAACAGATAAACAAAAGGCTTTGGGAGGTAAAAAAAAAAACCAAAACATTCATGCACTTCTGTCCTGGTAATTAATCTTTACGACTTGATGACATCCAGTCCTGGTGACGTGTGCTGCTCTCTGAGAGTTTAGTGTCGGTGTTTGTGTTGGTACCTTGTTTCCTGATGTGCTCTTTCCTCTGAAACTCGGCCTCCTTCAGAGCTACCTTGAACACTGAAAAACAACAACACCAGAGTCAGTAAATATCAGATGTGATTTAATTGTTTGAGGTTTCAAAGACTGAAAAATCAACTGTTGATATATTTGCCGTAAGCCAATATTCCACTGGCAGGTAGCAGCTAATTAATCAGCCATCTAATGACAGTAATGTGAGGGGTGACGGAGGCCTCACCATCTCCCACCAGGACCAGGGAGCTCTGGGCTTTGGCCTTGCCGTCGTGGATCTGGACGGTGTACGTGCCCTCGTTGGCTCTGGTGAAGTGATCCACGGTCATCTGGATGATTCCCGTGGCCACGTCGTGGCTGATCTTGTGACCCTGAGAGGACAACAAGGAAAAGATTTATATTTACAACCGACCACGTATTCATCGTATTCCTGTTCGAATCGGGTCGTTTGCATGTTTGTAAATAGTCTGATAGAAGTATTTAATATTAAACACACGTCAGAAATCAGCTTTATTCAGGTATATTCATATATTTACCTGAAAACATTGACGAGGAACAAAACAAGTTTAGTCATTATATTAAAGTTTGGTGTCAGGTTTCAGTCCTGCTTTTAAAATCTCTAATTTTATTTTACTATCCACGGTAAAAAAAAAAAAGAAGAAAAAGGCCAGTGAGCCAGTCATGAGATAATCTCGAGGCTTTTAATTTGAAGAGGACTAAAAGGTTCAAAGGCATTAGAGACGTGTGTGTTTGTTTGGTTTCGTTGACAACAAGCGAACACATGATCTCACAGATTTCATCAGACAACTCAAACAAAGCTGGGAAATAAACCTGAGGGAGCGGAGAGCTGGAAACGCACCACATGTCATGGCCTCCGGAGGCCAAGGTTAAGATTGTATAGCGCCATTATAAAGATCAACATCAAACAGGAAACACACATAACTCTAATACAGTTCAAATAAGTTGCATTTTTGAACTCGGTCGTGATGAATGAGGCGTTACCTCTCCGCTGGTGACCTCCTTGTCGTTAACGATGAACCTGTAGGACACTGCGGGCGACAGTTTGACCGCCTGCAGCCAGAAACGCACATGACCCTTCTCCAGAATCTCGTAGTTCAGGCCGTGTTTCAGAGGAATAACTGCACACAGAGAAAAGGCACAAAAACAAAAGAGAAATGAGGAAATACTACTTCCTAAAAAGACTTTCCTTTCTAAACAATCACCTGTTTTGTTTTGTTTGTCATTTTTAAATTTCTCTGAGATCTGCTGCTGATGCACAACACTCACCTGGATGTCTGATGGCATAGCTGAGCTCCAGCATGGTGTTCAGGGCTGCAGGAAAGATTCAAGAAAACAACAACAACGCCTGAGCAGAAGGACTAAAATCTAAAATTGACTGAATTGTTAAATTCTGACTCGTTTTAAACTTCATGACCTACCGTCCTCGGTCAGTGTGTGGCTGCCAGAGACTCCATCTGTGTCGGTGACGACCACAGAGTATCTGCCCAAATCGTCCTTATCGGGGTTGGTGAAAGTCAACCTGGAGCTGTGAAACAAACGCAACAGCTGTTAAATATCCATTAAAGTCGACACAATTATAAAACAGAAAACATAAATTCAACATATATTAATAATAGAGTTAATAAGCATTTAAAGAGGAAAGAGGAAATATAAATTACTTTATCATTTCTACCAAATTACAAACAAATTATTATTTATATATAAAATAAAACATGACACATTTCTGTTCATCGCTGCAGTAAATCAAGAAGCTTGGATTTGGATGGATAACAAGAATTTTTCTGATCATGAAAATGCTGTACACCTCGTACTTCTGCAGGTGAAACTGCTGTTTTTATTTTATTCTGTTAAAGAGAGTAATTCCCGCTGTGACTAAAGGAGGAGGCTGAGCTCTCCGCCTGAAGCGTGGGATGTGCCGAGGGGGGACCGGCGAGCTTACGTTCTGCCGTGCGCCGTGGCGGCGACACGTGGGCAGTCGCCGATGGGTTTGTAGTTCTTGGACCACACGAACTTGGAGGTCTCGCAGATCTCGCAGGCCTCGAGAGACAGGTAGATGTCTCCGGTTTCCTCATCCACACCAGCCACGATCTCTTTGGTGCCTGTGAACATGAAACAGAAAACAGAAAAACCTCTTAAATCAAGATACTACTATACATTTGACAGTATATGTATATTTATAGAAGTTATGTAAGATGATAAGATAGGATGACGTCCATGAAGCTGGTGTTCCTGACTCACAACGCCACCTTTTGTGAACATGAAGGGTGCGGTGCCGAGTAAATCCAGCACAGCTCAGTCGTTAAATTGTTGTTTACCTGGAAGAGCTTTGGCACAGACGGGCTCAGACAACTGGGAGGCTTTTCCGACGCCGTTTGCGTTGACAGCACGAACTCTGAACACGTAAGACTGGCCCTCCTCCAGACCGCTCACCTGCAGGAAACCATGGAAACATCATCACATGTACAGGGAGGTTCTAAGGTTTAAATTCATCGATTCAACGCTGTCAGATCTTTATGATACTTGATCCCGCTCGTGTCAAGTTGGTCAAACAGCAGAAGCGCGGCACATTATTCGCAGTCGGTCTCCTCACCTGCAGGTAGCGGTGGTGCACGGCTTCATGATTCAGAGTAACGAACTCTGTCGAGCCCTTTTTGGCCATGTCCACAAAGTATCCAGTGACGGCGCTCGCTCCAGTGTAGACCGGAGCCTTCCACAGGAAGACCAGGGAGTGACTCCTGACCTCACTGAAGCTCAGGTCGTAGGCTGGGCCTTGAAGTGAAACACATGAATAAACATCACCAGCAGATATTTGTATGCGGGTGAAGTTACGTGAACATAAACTTCCATAAACCAAAGTTATTCAAAGCCTCGCTGCATAAACTATAAGAAAAACAACATGCTTTTTAGTCTAAATAACAAAGTTTCTGATGAGCAACAGAATCTCAATCAAACGTGTTTCAGCAACCATCCAATAGACGGATGTAACTCACAGCATAGCAACAGAAAATGTAATATAATAAAAACAACTGCTGCCTAATTCGCCTTTAACAAACTTGAACGACAGCTGAACAGAGGTGTCGACTCGTCTCTTACCTGGCTCCTCCATGGTCCAAGCTACGCATTTCATGGGGGTGCTGGGAGCTGATGGAAGCCCGACGCCGGCCATGTTCCCGGCCTGGACCCTGAACTCGTAGAAGGTTCCCTCCGTCAGATTGTCGACCTGAGGACACAGAGAAAGCGATCAGATCCAATGATCCCGCAGCTGAAGCTCTGCAGTGGATGCTTCTTTACCTCGGATGATTTGTTTTGAGATGATGAGAACGACGGGCAACATAACAACACAGTTTCAGTTCTGTTTAATTGTGTCTGATCGACGCCACTTACGGTGCAGACCCTCTCGGTGACGGCCGACAGGTTGACCTCCTTCCAGATCAGAGTGTCGGCGTCACGCTTGTCGATGTAGTAGGCGTTGACCTTGGAGCCGCCGCAGTGTTTGGGACTCTTCCAGGCCACGGTCATGGAGGAGCCGTCGCAGCTCAGCATGGTGATGCCGAAGGGAGCGCTGGGAGTCGCTGGATCACAGAGTGTCATGTTTAACACTCGGGAGCTTTAGACACTCAAGACATTTTCCATTATATTTCAATTTAATTAGGAAATAAGTCTGTGTTTGATTATTGGAAGGTTACTGTGAGGTACGTGGATTTATATGATCCAACCATCGTGTCAAAAACATCCATCAGAACATCTGCAGCAGCTGTGCTCGATAGATTTCGCTTCAACCTGGTGCGAGTGTTTTGTGAAATGCGATCGTGACACTGTGTCACTACAGTGAGAAGGAAAATATGCAATTCTGTGAATAAAACACGTAAAGTGGAGGTGGAGGAGAAGGGGTGGAGGAGGTGTGGTAAGACAGGAGGGGGGGAAGTAACACAGCGATATAATACATACCGTACTCCACCCCCTTCCCTGGATAGACCAGTGGAATTAGAGCAGCAAATAAAAGAAAAATTAATCTTTTATATCAGCTTTTTATCTTTAATCGTTTATTTCCCATCTAGAAAATCTGTTTTGATTTAAATTATTATCGGTTTAACACACTTTTCAACCCACTGACTTCACAAACAAGAGTTCAGTGTAAACGTGCAGCTGTCTTACCGAGGGCCGGCTCCACGGAGATGGGAGTCGACTCCTGTGACTCGTCACTGAGGCCGAAGATGTTGGCGGCTTGGACGCGGAACACGTAGGTCTCTCCTGGGATCAGGCCGTGGACCACGAACCTGCGACACACGTTCAGTTTTCACAACGTAAAAAAGCTTTTGTGTGTCTTTATTCTTCTGCCTGCATGTAAATATCTTCGTTTCGCTGAAGTAAACTTGTTCAGAAAAGCAAGAGAAACTTTTCAAACAATCTCTAAAACAGTTCAGAGCTCATTTAAAGGCTTCTTAAGATTCGTTGGTGCAGCGTTGACGTTAGCTTGAGCTTTATTTGTGTAAATTCTGTGCCTTTTGCTCAAACTGCTGAGCTGCAAAAAAATCTAAAATCTTTGTCAATCTAGATATAGTTCACAATAAATCATTACAGTCTTAGAATAAAGCTCAGCCTGAGATATTCATATCATTTAAACATCTTGAGATGCATCATCATATTTACACGGAGGCTCCAAAACATCTGACAGCAGGACTCATCAGCTCTGGATTTACCTGGTGTGTTTGAAGGGTTTGTGGTTACAGGGGAACCACTCCTTGGATCCGACGGCGCGGCCGTCGATGTAATATCCCATGAGGTGTTTCAGATGTTTGGGAGGCTCCCACTGCACAAACACGGATGACTTGGTGTTCCTGGTGGCAACAACCTGACCAGGAGCAGAGGGGACGCCTGTTCACCGAGGGGAAGAGGAGCAGATTATTAATTATCAATCAACATCTGAAGCTCAGAGATCCAGAAACGTCTTAATGCTGAACGTATTTCTGGTATTTTGGTACATTAAGCCCATTCAGGAGTGACATACTCTAATTTACAGTTAATGGTCAGACATCATCAAATGACATTTTATTTAACACAAAATATAAGAATGTAATGTTCCAGGTGACTTGGGCAGTAAAGGTTCTGTGTCAGTCTTTAGTTGAAACTTAATGATTCTTAGCGTTTGGTTTAAAAAGCAAAAACGACCAAAGGAGCTCACAACAATTTATGAAAATGACTTTTTCAAACGCTTGACTCTCTGATTCTCATCCATACGCTTCCTCACAGAACCTGAATAATGATAATAATAATAATAATAATAATAATAATGAGTAAATACGACTTACTCCAGGTCTCATTCTGTGTCCTACACATATCCGACTGTGGCTCACAACGTGACTGACACGTGTAAAACATGCAAATATTCAACAGTGCATCCTCATGGTGTTTTCAGTGAACTCTGAGCGGACATGGTGCGTTACGTGATCAAACACAGTGATTTGGGGTCTGTGTGAAACTGATTTCGACACGTGTCCACACAACAACAACAACAACAACACAGTGAAGTCTCAGGGGATGTGATTTGAGGACAAACACACACTAATCTGTGATGTTACAGCAGCGTGGATCAAAGGTACGTACCGACCAGCAGCTCAATACCTGCAAAATACAGCAACTGCCTTTGAGCAAAAGGTAAATTTCAGCATTTCATGTGTTTATGTTAGCATACCTACAATTTTGACGTTACATGGTACATTCCCCCAAATTTCAACATTTCTTCCCTGTTTATTGTAGATTTTGTTTTTCCTTAAATATGGACTTTTTTATTTTTTTCATGGTTGAAATGGTTAAACAACTATTGAGCAACTACTTAGACACACAAAATGTTTAATCCTAACGTCCTAAAGTGATGGAAAGCCGAGTGAAGTCCAGTTCTTACGTCTTATTTTGAAATAAAAATCTTCATTCGACGCTTCGGATGAGTCCTTTCGAGTTCAACCCATTTCTTCTTTTTCATTTACATTAAACCAAGAACCGACTTTAAGTTGGGACGTTCACTCAGGACCCTTTAAGATCTTTATTCATACAACTCATTGGCAATCTTAAAATAAATAGAAATAAAAAAATGCAAAATAAAAAATGATACATCTTTGTGTTTTAATATTTGTGTGTACAGGACCCTTACCATCCTGATCGACCTTTTGGACGGGCTCAGAGGGCGCGGAGGCCTCGCTGGAGCCGTACATGTTGACCGAATACACTCGGAACTGGTACTTTTGCCCGTCTTGCAAATCAAAAACCGGGTAACGTGGGGAGTGCAGTTTGACTGCTGTGTTGATCCGCCTGCCACGCTCCAGTGCCTGCTAAGCACTGTGGGAGAGTCGGGGTGGGGGGGGGGGGGGGGGGAGAGAAGGTACAGCCATCTGCGACAAACCTCATCAATGTAGCGTGAACACAAAAGAGGAAATGATGTGTTTCTGCACAGTCGGGGCTCAGTTTATTTTTAATTTGACCAGAAAATAGATGTAAGTTATCACTGATGTTTTTTAATCTGAAACATCAAAGTGTCAAATCTGGCCTTGATAGAAACTGGCAACTATTATTGTTTATCATTGTACATAAGATTTCAAAACAAATGAACATTTTGGCGAGAATTCCCTAAATCTTGCTGTGAAATGGAAAATGTCAAGAATATGTAATAATGTAAATGTGCAATTAAGTGGAGCCGCAACAATGCAAGCACAGTAACATGTGGTGAGCTTTCAGTACGTGCTTGTATTGTTACAAGCATTAAAAAAAAACACACATTTAACCTCTTAAACTGTGCTGGTAGCTGCTTCTTCACAAACTCCTGGTGGAGAGTTTCCATTAAAACAAAATATTTCTGGCTGAAATTTTGATGCACAATCATCGGGGAAAATCCAGCGTTTAAGAGGTTAATGTCTCTCTTTTTTTATTAAATTTTTTAAATCTTTCAACTACAGTAACTGAGTTGAACAGAGAGCTACATTGACGGAAACGGATGGCCACAGGTGGAGCGACACACACCTTCTCGATGACGTACCACAGCGGAGCTCGTCCGCGGGGGCTGGGCGGCTTCCAGCTCAGCACGACGTACGATTTGAAAATCTCAGAGGCATGCACGTCGGTGGGCTCCCCCGGGATCGTTACGTAGCCTAGATTGGGAGTGAACGGTGGTTGAGGCATGAAGTACATACAGCAGCAGCCACTGCAGAAGTCCCACATTATGCTATGTTTTTTTATTTGTATTTTAATCACAATTTATTAATAAATGCTAATAAATAAATCGACAGAAGCATTTTGTCCAGATTCCTTCTACTAGTCTCTGACAGACATTGTAATCTTTCTAAAAGAGCTCAACAATTAACTTTCTGTAATTACTATTTCAACATATCCACTGCCACAGATATAAGATAAAAAGTCTTATCTTTGTCAAAAATGGCTGCACAATTTTGCATTAGAGTTATGAATAAATACAGAATTTTGAATTTCTATATATAAGAGTCACTTTAAAAAGTAAAATTTAGCAGTAAGATGTGGGACTTCTACAACGGCCTCAACTGTAAAATCATACAAACGCGTTTTAAGCGTCAACATTATTTTTTAGTTTGATTTTTTTGTGGGTTAAAGTGGAAGAAGCCACACTCGACACACTTTGGAGGCGGTTTAATTGACAAACTGTGTAAAAACCCGTTACAGTCTGTTAAAGCGTGAATGGAGGAGCTGCAGTTAGATCGGAGACGGTGAGGATGGGAAGGAAACGGGGGGAGAAAATGGTTTGTAGCGTTAAATTCAAGACGTTAGAGCAAACGACAGATTAGTTTGGAGTTTACTCTGCAGATGTTAGGTCTGTTTTTAGATTTTGTGTTTATCTGTAGTTCATTTTGTTTTTGTAAAGTTTTCAGGAAGAACTGGCGTCAGTGTGCAGAAGAGTCTAAAGTAACTACAGTAAAGACATAATAAAGGAAGTCTACACTGATGTCAGATCTGTGTGGAAGAAAAAATCTTTCATATTTTGATGTTAAGAAGAAATTCAGAAAATAATTCAGACTTTTTCTTAATTTTTTTTTCAGAATTATGAGATTTCTTTATTTTATTTGCAGAATCTAATTAGAAAGTTGATGATTTAAATTAAATTATTGTTGTTTTGAACTGTAATAAGTCTCAGTGTTTGGCTGTGAAGATGTTGATGAAGTAAGATGGGTAATTTCTTTTTCACATTAAACTACATTTTTATTTCCTGTTCAATTGGTAAAGAGGGATTGTTGTTAGTATTTAAAGGTCTTTAAAGGATTATGAGGAAGTGGTTTAAAAGGATTAAAATCAGACGTCTGATCCCAGGTCAGTCTTTGTGTACTACTGTACCTTCCAGATCATCATCCTTGATCACTATGTCGTATTTTCCTTCGATTTTAATCACTGTTGCAGGAAATGACAACAACAGATCCATTAGAAAACTCTTGCTTTCCCACCGCTGTCTATTTTGTATTTACCTTCGTCGGTACCTTGCAGCCTCTCGTGCTCAGCGGCGTCCATTGCGGTCACTTTGTCCGACTTGCGGGACGGCCTGCTGATGCCGGCGCTGTTCACGGCTCTGACCCGGAAGTGGTAGGAGTGGCCCATGCTCAGGCCGTGAACCGGGTATTTACAAACCTTCACTGGGGCGTCGTTGCACTGGACCCAGGTGTCGCTGCCAGCCTCACACCTGCACATCAGAACGGGAGATGGTATCATCAGCAGGTAAATCTCATTTTCATGTCCCCAGATTTAAAAAATCAGAACAGACCAGAATCACTATTTTCTTCAAGCACGTAGTAACTACTGCATGATTCTGACTCTGTATTATTATTATTGATCTGCAAACAATATTAAAAACTGCTCCACACAATGCAACAGGTTAAAAAAAACAACAATAATAAAAGTAAACGGAAACATTCAGACATTAAACCTTAATGTTTTTCAATTAAAGCTGCAGTGACTGTTTTCTTTTTCGGCCACTCGATTAAAAAGAAACTTCACAACTGAACTGACGTGAAAATCACCAAATAAAGTTGTGAATAGGTTTGCAACTAACTTATTAATTCACCTGTCAATCACTTCTTATAATAACATCTAATAATCAGTCTATGAAATGTCAAAGAGATTGATAAATGAATTCTTCAGATGTATTTTGTCCAATCAACAGTTAAAAACGATATTATTTGATAATATTTGACCATTGAAAACTTATTTAAAATTTCACTGGCCGACATTTTGCTTGATATAATGATTTAAATGATTAATTGCTCTGTCGATCAACTAATCTCTAAACTCTGTAGAGCTAAAGTATTGATCAGTGCAGTTTTAAATCGACTGTATTCATGTGAATGTGCCGACTCCAGTCTATAAAAATAAAGGCTGAGGAGGTTTTCAGGGTGCAGACTGACCGATCCACAAAGTATCCGGTGATTGGCGCCTCGTTGACGGTGTTGGGGGGTTTCCAGGCAACCAGGACGTAGTCCGAGTTGATGTCATACGCCTTTACGCTCATTGGTGCACCGGGGGCCCCGGCTGCAGCGGCAGCGGCATCTAGGAACCGAGAAAAAACAAGGTCGTGAGGTGGGAGGGAGGGAGGGGGACGAAAGGACAGAAAGCACAACCTCCATTCATTTCACGCCACGGTGAAGAAATTCTCACCGTTAAATAGATAGAAACTGACAATTAACAATTTTAAAAGTCATCAGTTTCCTCCTGCTCTTTGATTTGTTTGATTTGTTGCACCAACTGAATCTCTAGGTTTGTTGTTTCCAAAAATCACCTGTATGAGTGGAACTGTAATGAACTTATATGAGATGCTTAGAAAGCTCAGCCACGGTGATCGTTGCTCTCACAGATCTATTTATCCTGAACAAACTGAGGTTCCCGTTTTGTGCTTTACAAATCCACAGTCAAGGAACGCAGCAAGTTGAAAACACCACATGCTGCAGAGAGGTGTGACCCACCTGAGACAAACAGGTAGGCGCTGTGCTCGGCGGTGCCATCCTTTGTGAAGATGCGGAGGGTGTAGAGGCCCTCGTCGTCCTTGGCCAGGTGAGGCAGCGTCAGACGGGCCGCGCTCCCACTCACCTTCATCTCCACCAGCTTACTTGGTTTCAGCAGTTTATCTGTGGGGGGGGGGCGGTGAGGTGTGAGCACACGACCAGCTGTTTATCTCTGAGGCAGCGCCGGGAAAATTAAATAAATAAGGGTTCCTGCACCAGTTTAAAAATCAAAATCATTTCTTTTCTAAGACTCTTTTAAAGACGACCTCAATATATGAAAATTAATGTTGCTCAGACGTTTATTTTTGTTCTATAAACACAGTTTTAAAATAGATGCAGAGAGGAAAATTCACACATGCTCAACAAAAATAGAAACCCAGCAATAAAAGATGCTAAACGTTTTCTACATCCTACTGCAGAATTTCATATTAATTTCTAGATAATCAGATGGAAAATACTTTTTAACCCTTCACTAAAAATGATCTAATTATCTACCTGCGACCCGCAGACCGTAGTTTTATGTCAAACTGTTAGGTTAGCGCCCCCTAGTGTGTCGGCATGACAACATCTTAAACAATTTTTATTTATTATTCGCTTTGTTTTTTTCTACCAGTCTTAAACAAACTGCATCTGCAAATTTAAAACAAATTTACAGTAAATAAAAGACTTTTAAAGACTTTATATTCCTTTATTTTAATTTGAAACCCTGGTGAATAAATAAACTAATGAAATAAAAATAGTAACATTACTACACACACACACACACACACACACACACCTGTTCCACAGATGAATGAATGAATGAAAGAGTGAGTGAATAACTGAACGCCTTACCGTCTCTGTACCACTGGGCGATGGGTGGGACGTTGGGGAGGTCGGGGACGACCACCATGGTACACACCAGACTGATGGAGCCGCCCTCCACGCCGAAGGAGACATGGAAATGGTCGAGCAGGGTGACCTCCAGCTTACTGGGATGGATCTCGGTCAGGTGGGGCACTGGACAGCAGGAAAAAACACGAACAACAAAACAACTGTAAATCTTTTCAGAAGTGAACTTTATCCTTTATTTTAAATGATTAATGATTGACAATGATGTCGTTTCAAAACCTGGGCTCACGATTTTTAAACACTAATTAAAGGATCTCTGCCGTTACAAGTGATAACGTTACGACATTTTCCTTATTTATCATTATTCCACTCCCTGAATACTGATGCATTATACGGATATTCATTTAGACCACCAGGTTCTGAACTATTCAGTGTGAGCACTCATGTTCCTGTTGCTTGTTTTACTCCGTCTGGGTCTCAAACCAGGACAACAGCTCCTCACAATAGTTTCCACTGCTTATCAGGCCCCTCACATGCGCTGCTACTTGCAGCCAAATGATCCCATGTGATGCTGGTTTGTGTCTGGGCCAGATTCCAACCAAAAATTAAAAAGACCACCACCCCCACCACCACCCCTCCCCCTCCCACCCTCCAGCTAGATCCCCAGTTTCGACTCCCTCTCGTCCTCTCACCGAGACCAAGCTGGCAGGACTCCGCGGCTCCCGACGCTCCTGCGCAGAGAAGAATTCATGGTTACAGAGAGAAACACGACGACAGGTGATTACCGTCAGGATGAGAGAATAAAACTCACTCTTCACGGTAACGGTGGCCTTGCTGGTGGCCGTACCGTACTGGTTGGTTGCCACAGCGCTGTACTCGGCAGTGTCCCTCACCACACACCTACGAGAGCAGACAGCACGGAAAACATGTCAATATGTGTTAGGGTTAAATGTTTTATGATATATCTATATTATAAAAGTGGTATAGCTGCTTACTTGAGATGTTTTTAATACAAATACAAATGAATAACAGCCTGAAAACATATTCAGTCAAGTCAGTTTTAATAGAAACGGACATGACTGTTTCTATCTAAAAGAGAAGCAGCTGTAGGTTGGATCTCAGTGTAAACAACATGTAATATATAAATAGCTACAATAGAGAGTTACACAGAATATATTTGTGATAATGTTAAAAGGGAATATAATAAATTTTCCTACATGATCCTTATTTTAGGGGAAATATAAACAGAAAGGTTGATTTTAAGAGGCTAAACACTGACGACGAATCGGTGACGTTGAACCTGGAGTCATCGATCGTTCTGAGTCTTTCGATATCAGACACCGTCGCCCAGGAAACCGATCCCAAACAACTCCTATCATGGTGCTGAAACGGCTCATGGGAACTTCTCCTGACAGCTTTTAGGAGTCTATTCTAATGAGTTATTATAATTACACATTCTTCTCTGTAGATCAAATCGTACGTCGATCTGTGGATAAAAAACCTCACTCGCTCCTGTTATCGAAACTGTATTAGTTTTGACATTATGTAATTGTCATATGTGGCACGTCCACCTTTAACTTGGCAGATAAAAAAGGATTTGAGCAAGAGAGGAAAGGAACCAGGTGAAAATTTGAGCCCATCTTAAAGTCTTGGCAGCGTGACGCAGAGTTAAACGTCAGTACATGGAGCAGTTAAGCTCTTTTCTTCTTTCCTCAACAACACCGCGGCCGGTCTCCCAAGGTCAGCTGTGAAGACGTCGCGTACTGCCCTCTTTTGAAAAGTGACCTCACTTGCTGGAAGCGCACTGAAAAGACGGCGGCGGCGCCCCTGTGACAGCAACCGAAGAGGAGTCCGAGGGTGAGAATAGAAGGAAGAAATGTGACCTTCACCCTGGACCGAACTATTTTAAAGGTGGTCCCATTTCTCAGCTGTGTGTGTGTGTGTGTGTGTGTGTGTGTGGGGCACATTAACGTCGGTCGTCTCACTGACCCTGTACTGTAATGACGGAGGGACGGGGATATTCACTGCCACAGAGAGAGAGAGAGAGAGGGAGGGAGGGGCGAGGCCGAGAGAGAGCAGTGGGAGGAATTCATGGCTCGAATGACGCAAAGGTCAGCACTTCAACACGAACAGCTGAGGAGTCTTGAAGATGACGAAGAGGCCAGCAGGCTGGGCCCTAACCCTCCTCTCAGTCCGTCTCCCTCTCTAGTCAACGGCCTCTTATTTTTTGACACCAAAATTAAGATAAAGTGGTAAAAAAAAAAAAAAATTACAAGTTCATATGCGTCTTTAGCGTTTCAATAATTAACTCTAAACCCCTCGAATCCTGCTGGTAAATCCCTTTAATCTTTCTCTCCTCATTTCCCTCTTCTACGACACGTTCCTCCATATTTTACAAATCTTAAGGTTGCCTTCTGTTTGTGTACTGTAATGCTCTATGAGGCAAAGCTGCGTGTTGACGCGCACCTGTCGCTCCAAATGGCAGCAAACAGTAGCGGGGAGTAGTGTCGAACATGGGTTGCATTAAGAGAGCTGGATATGTTGCTGCCAGCTTGGCACGGTGGCCACTCGCAGCGTTGAAAGTGTTTAAAGAAATAAAGAAACATCTGTGAAACTTTTAACATGAAACCTAGAAGTATAAACAAGGTTATAACTCTTCATTCAGGTGCCTGGGAGCCATCTGTCAGTCTGGTATCTACTTCCTTTGATGTATCTATGGTTTTCAAAATGTCACCTGACAATTTCTTGCCACTGGCTAGTTTAGTTCAGGCGTCTCACCCCGAGAACTGAAACTGATTTAGTTGCTGCAGTGTGTGATTTAGGTTTTAAGAGTGCTGCATCTCAAGTGAAAACTTTGTAATATTTATATTTAGGCGTCTGTGCAGTGTGAAGTGGTTTTAATACCTTTCCATAATATTCCTAATCGATGACTAATGTAATTAAATTGCAACCGTTAATAACTCAAAATCATAGTTTACAAAATGTTTTCACGACTTGATTTGTTTCTAATTTGGAGGAAAATGGAGTGATACTGTAAACTCCTCTAATCGAACATCTGTCAGTGCAGATGTTTCAGTATGAGTCGAGGGTGTGACGTACCTGCTTATGATCAAACCGTGGACTCCATACTTGTTTTCAATCTTGTACTTTCCGGGAGCGCTCAGCGGGTCGACTGGCACTCCGTCCTTATACCTGCCGACAATCAGCACAACAAAACACACTTATACCTGCGAGTGTGGGGAAACACGACTCTCTGAAAACCCATACAACAATAAAGCTAAATGTGTCGTGTACTTAAATAGCAGTAGATATTTACAAGGTGCCGAATACTCAACATTGTATATCGGTATTGAAAGGATTAAAGGAATGCTAACAATGCTAACAATGCTAACAAATGTTTTTCAGTGGGGGGTGTGTAAAAGGATCAATTCTAAATGTGTTCCCTGCATAGTATAAAACAACTAAGCTTAACGTTAACATGTCAAGACACACTGCACCTTTTAGATACCGACATGTAGAGTAATGTACAGGAGCGTATGCACGGAAACGGCTCCAGTAAGATGCGAATATTCTGACCATTTGACGATGGGCCTCGGGTGTCCCTCCACGGTGCAGAAGAGTTTGACGGGAGTCTTCTCCCACACGGTGTGGGGCCGCAGGGCCACCAGGAAGTCCGGCATCTTGGGGACGTCGTCCAACAGATCCCCCCTCCTAGTCATCCTTCCTCTAACCTGCGAGTAAAGTGCATCAGGTGAATGCGTGCAGCACAGTGTCCAAGACAGTGACAGATTGTTTCTACATTTTCTCTGTGCTCCACGTTGTATCTGAAATGAAACAGTGGCTTTAAAGCGTTAACAATGTACGGTTAATGAACAATATGAGAAGAGGACATCATTTAAAACAGCACGGTGTCATCATTAACATTTCCCCGCTGACATCCCGTCAACAATCTGCCCAGACCAGAGGGATTAGAGAGGTGAGGTCAGCAGACAGCAGTTAGCTCTCTGCAGTCAACTTTTAACTTCAGCATCACTCGTCTGTCGTCTTACTTCTGCTAACGGAGGCAGGGCAAGAAAACGTTCATATTTATAGCACCATTCAGAATAGGGCTGTCAGGATAAAACAGACACGGCTGTCGTAGCCAGAAGTATTCATGATGGTGATATAATCGTGATAGATTATTTGGGATTATTTGTGTGTTTGGTTGTGTTTTTTGGCAAATGGGTTCGACTCAGAGAAGAGGAGGTGTAGGGAGGTGGAGAGAGAGAGTCTGTGACCACAACTGTACAGCAGTGTAAAAAAATAAAACAATGATACTGAATGGAAATAGGAAGAAACAGAACAGAAGATTTGTTTAATTATTCAAAGACCTAAAAGATTCTAGCAGAAACATCCAGCTGTAGTTTTTTTTTAAAACGGTTTTATTGAGGAGGAGAAAACTACTTTTTTTTAATCACTGAGGTTTTTTCTTGTCTTTTATTTTGTGCCTTTTGAGCTGGAGGATGTTTTGACCAGTGATTGTTCTGATTAATGTGCTGATGCAGGGTCTCAACAGTTGATTATCATCTGCAAATCTGTGATATAAAGTGTTCTGTAAATAAAATGAAATAAAAAAAACTTACATACATATAATGTAAACATATACTTTATATATAAAAAGACAAAACAACCAACAAGACACCACACAATCATGACGTCCATGTGCCGCACAACAGTGTGAACCGGTGACATGTTCTCCACTTGGCTCCTTACCTCTCTCTGGATCTCAAGGCTCTCCACTTGAGCCTTAGTAGCAATCCTCATCCTGTGAAGCTCCTCCTGAATAACAGCCAGTCCCTTCCCAACATTTGTAGACACTCTCTGGTACTCCTCAGTCTCCTCAGCAGTCCTAATGACACATAAACCACATTAATCTACCACTAATCTTGGAATCAGCAAGTTAAACAAATAGGATTTAAGAGACTTGACTTTAGAGTCACTGGGTGTCGGCCAGAAGTTGGATGTCTTATAAATATTTCATTGTGAATACCATCTGAAAAACAAACACTTTTGTAGCTTAATGAACTGTTGTTTTGTCTTTTATTGGCACTAAAATAATTTACGATTAAAGGTTTTCACTTCTTCTCCGCCTCACTGTTTAATAGAAAGCGAAACGTCACACCGGATTAAACTTAACTCGGAGGCAGAGAACTCCTTTTGTGCATCTGATCAGTGGTACTAAAAAATAAGAGTTTAAATTAACACTGTCTGCGTGTTCATCTAGAAGCTCAGCGGTCAGTTTAACATATCGGAGATACAGACTCCACCGTTCGTATCAGCTCTACAACTCCTAAAACAGCACTCGACAATTCAAAATAATCATCACTGAATAATGAACTAGTACGACTGGAGAAATGTGCTGTCTTTACTGGGGTTAGCTAACAGAGACTGTGGGTCAGTATTACCTTACGCCTAAAAATAGCCTGACATATGACAGCAGCCAAACTCACCTCTGCCGGAACACCGGTATGATATAGGCTGGTTCCGCCATCGCCTCTGTGGCCTGGGCCTGTACCTGGCTCACCGATTTAGAGCTTGATTTCCTGTCGGGGAGGGAGGGGGGGAGGGGAGTCCATCATTATGAAATAGGCATTAAAAAGAAAAAATCCCACTATAAGCAGACTTTTGGGTTTTAGTTTTGCAGAAGCAGCTTCCTGTTCTAAAATCTCCCACCTGAGGTTTAAAGTAATTATACAATGATATGAAATTGGCACCAAACTCTCACAAACGAAGTCCCACGTGTCAGTAATGTCACGTGTTGGGATCCTTTTAGTTTAAAATGCATGGAAAGAATATGGTGACAAATCTATATGAAACTTTTAGACTATTTTTGTGGATCCTTCTGTGTCCCAATATGTTCCTAATATGACGCAATCCTATATTATTTATTGAGTACGCTCAGAGATCCATTTTTATCATTTCAACTCATTTGGTTCACAGAGAGGAAATACTTTTACGGGTCTTTTCTTCTTCAATCACTCTGATGGGAAACTTCATGAGAGACTTGGTCAGTGCTGAGAACCACTGGCCTCGGATGTAGGTCAGGTTCATGGGAGTGGCATGCGCCCTCTGACATAAGGCGGTGGCTACATGACAACATGGCGGCCTGCTACAGGATGACCCGGTGATCAGAACTTGTGGTGGCTCAGATCTGGGACTTGCCCCCATCTCATCAGTATAGTGGTAACAAAGCAATCGCACATCGAACTCAGCATCAAACTCAGCAAAAAAAAAAAGCGCTAACTAACTACAGCTTGGCAGAGCTGGGCTGAGAGATGCTGGCTGAAGCTGCAGAGCATGAAGTCCTGACCCGGGGCTCCAGAACTGTTGGCGCCCACAGAGAAAATGGGTTTACAAAATGGGTTTCTTTGTTTTTCAGCTTGTACTTTGAACATGCAGGATCTCAACGAGTTTCCTGAGTGCCTTAACTTTACCACGTGCCATCTTTTACCTCAACCTATATCCTTGGCCGATGGAGAAACAAATATACAGTGGACCACGTGTTTATTCCAAATAATAAACTTGCTGAAACTCTTAAAAGTAACGTGAGCTTCATGTGAAGCTACATCTCAAACTTTCTTTCGCCATTTTCTATTTTTTGCAAGATGGTTATTTCAGTGTTTCGACTTCAGGTGAATTAACTTCCATGACATAAGATCCATGGCACTTTGCATTCTCACTTTCTGACCAGAAACACTGCTGTGGACTGACTGTGGACGGACTGCTGCAGACGACAGAATTTACAGCGTGGTAAGCGTCAAAGATGCCTTGGACATATGGGTTCTGATGCCTGCGAGAGACTGTCGCACCGTCTCAGAGCTTGTTGAACTAAATCTGTTCATGAAAATGGGTTAGAATCGGACGTCGGAAGACAAAATGGAGCTAGGAAGCAGACACATATGCAGCAGGACGATCAGCACCCACTGCCGGACGCTCTAACGCCCTGCACCCGGCCAAGCTGCGACAGCTGTACCTTCCAAAGCAGCGGGTGAACCGCACCTTCGTACCTTTCCGTATGCTGCTTGACAACATGTTTAGTGTGATGATACGCGTAATCAGTTTTGACTTGGCCCACACGCTTCTTCATATACCAAGATATGTCTTTGGAAGCCATGACTGGAACACTTCAAGGAGACCTGGCCGAGAGCACCAGGGGGAGGGAGGGGAGACAGGGGGGAGACGGGGGGGGGGGACCAAACGTGTGTTAGCCATGTTAACAATGTCAATATAAGTCTTCCCTTTACCATTACACATTTACCGTTGTCATTAGATACTGAACACATCAACAGTCTTCACTGAAATCATCCCTCAGTACGATCTCCGGTGTTGCTGGTGTTATATAATATCTGTTACTGTATTCATATTACACATAAATCAATAAACAAATAATCAAACGTATTTATCTCACAGGATTACATGTTAAAAATCCAACATTTAAGAGGCATCGGGACGGTTCCCACATACTGCCAGAGCTCAGCACTTCAAATGTTTCACCTTACAGCCTCACACAGCTCAGCTATGAATAGCTTGCAGCAGTCTCCTTATTCCATGACTGGAGTAATGAAGGAAACAGAGTCATTACCGGCAGTGCACAGCCTTCACACTATTTAATTAAAACCCATCATCTAGGAAATGGGACTGCTCAGACTGTACAGGCTATTCTAAATTAAAAAACGACTAACTTCTAAACAAGCTGTCAAATTCAAACTAATTATGCTTTCATCCCGTATAATCAGTTATTTCAACACACACACACACACACACAACATTTGTACCTGAGTCTATTTGCCTGAAAACAAATTAGGGAAAAGAGGGTCAGCAACCCCTTAATGCCCTGGTATGTAAGGAAGTACTGCTCAGGGAGATTACAACAGGCTGCTGCCGTTTCCCCCCCGACACAGGAGACAGATTATCTACGGCCATTTATTACAGCAACACATTTCACTTCTATCACGCTTGACAGCTGATAACTTCTCTTCCTACTCTGAACTTCGTTTTTTTCCAAGTTATTCCTCCATTAAAAATCAGCCTCATCAGTGAGAAAACATTAAGAGAAAAGTGACTTACCCCAAGAGATTAAAACAGCGCAAAGCGGTGGCAAACCAGCCTGATGCCGCTTGGGAAGCACTTGCTGATGGTAACAAAAATATTACCCTCTCACTGGAGGAATGCTGTTCCCCCTTCCTCCCCATGTATGGAGGCACTTAAGACTATATATAGCATTTACCCCCCAAATTTTGCTCTCATTCTGCACCTTGGAGATGAAGAGTGTGCATCCGTACCTGCAAATTTATAAAAGTATTTTAAAAAATAAGGTATGTTTCATCCACTGCATTTATCAAATTTAATGATTATTTGAATCTTTAGTGAAAGATAAAGGAAATATTTGAATTTATAGAAACATTCGCGGAGCCTAGATTTTTCTAAAATGAAATATTTTCACGCGACAATATTTAATTTGAGAAAATCATCAAATCAGTGTTAAATGGCACGTTGCAAGTCTTCACGTTATCGACAGGAGGACCTCTAACAAGATCATGAAGAGGCATCTCTCATCTTTAAATATCGCAAAAAAAAATTCATTCATGCAACAGCAACGAAAGATGTTTTGAGATAATTCTCTGGCAGATCCCGACACTGAAAGCCTTATGAGACCTTTTTAGGTTTCTGGAGACAGCCCGTCCTCCTTGGCTCAACACTTGTGAGCAGCAGTCAGGCTATTTTTAACAGCAGCTCCTCTGCTACAGTGATACCCCCCCAATTCTTACTGTACAAGAGCCCCTGCAGCTATTTATAGTCACACCAGTCTATTTAAAAAACACTGAAGATACAGAGAGAAAAAACTCTGAGGTGAAAATCATCAAAGTGAACTCAAAACACAGGAGGTGTTTGTTTTTATTGCCTCAATGACCTGCAGTTGTTTCCTCTTGGCTTCACTAGAAAGGTCACCCCCCCCCCCCCCCTCTCTGCTTAGAGGACACTGGTCTGCTAGTTTCCTGACATGTATTTTCTCCATTAAAACACATTCACATACAATACAAACTCATTAAACTCTCAATAGGGATTACAGGTCCTTCTGACGGGGCAGCATCTAAAAATGTTAAATTTCAGCGACTCCCAGTGGAAGAATCAAGAAGGACATGCGTGACATGTAAGGACTGGGGATAGAGGAGGTTACTTTTAACCAGTGTAAAAACTTATTTTACCTCTTTATATATTCATTTTCTCGAGACCAGTGAAGCAGTTTGGGAATAATTAGGTGGAATAAATATGAAGTAAATAAAATCACTTTCGGTAACCGACTGATGAAGTGACTCCAGAGCATCACCCTTGCACCAAACTTGGAGGAGGTGATGGAGCGAGGGTAAGGGGAAGAACTCATTCTATTTTGGTCGGCACTCTCTCAAGTCTGTCTGCTAGTTTACAGTCAGTACATCCAAACATAGGATATAAAACACATTTCTCTAACTGTATTCAAACTGAAAAGAGTGCAATATACAGTAAATACAGCACATATAAGTACAATTTATTATTTATATCCTCAGATTCTCCTAATAAATAAACTAATAAAATAAGAAGCAAAGCTAAAATGTAGTCACATACTACATGTCCCATGATGCAACTCAAGCATCTTTTATTAGCCGTTCCCTGAATGGTAAATTACTCAGGTCTTTCTTCACATCTGCAGTTTGCAATGCAGTTACTTTTTTCAAGGTATTAAACATGACGAATGAACCGACCGTCACGTGTGAAATTAGTGGAATGGCCCTTTAAAGCCACATTCGGTTTGGTGTTATTCTCTGTTAAATGCTGCCACCTGGTGTCTGTTTGGTGGAAGGTGACACGCGGATGATGAGCTGGAAAAATAAATCCTTTTTGTTCCTAAATGCAATTTGCCTTCTCCTACTTCACTAATGAAGATGATAGGACAGCGGGATATTTACTAAGCCTGGACCTAATTATTTTGAATTCTGTTGATAGTAATAATGATAAACTTTATTTATTGCAGCAGCATGCCAGGATTAAAACATTACAAGCCTAACAGAAAAGTTTCAAATAAAACTATAGCGGAAAAAAAGAGGAAAAAGTTAAACATGATTAAAATTGTATTATATATACACATATATATATATATATTTTATTGTATTATAATGATAGTAATTTAATTCAAGTGTAATTCATCTGTCATTTCAGACCCTGCTGCTCCCACCTGCCTGCCTTTTCCCGCCAGTAGGATCACCTGACCTGCCCCCCCCCCAGCTCACCTGCTCCACAGTCACACACCAGCTCCTAGTTTATTACACCCCGTCCATTTGCACTTGCTCTCTGCCAGATTCGTGTCAGTGCCAAGCGCCTTAGCTTTTCAGCTTTTCCCTTGCCTGTGTTTCTTGAATTTTGCGTCAGCTCCACCTTTTGTTTTGTGTTCGCCACTTTCAGACTCTTTACCTTTACGCCCGCCTCCTCCGTTTTCTGAGAATCGTGACAAAAACCAAACATCATGAGCTTCAGCTGTATTTATGCCAGTTGTGTGTGTGCGTGTGTGTGTGTGTGTGTGTGTTTATTTTCCTAAACAGAGTGAGGACACTTTCTGACACGCCTTCAAAAGGGCTGTTTGAGGGTTAAGACTTGGTTTTAGGGTTCAGGTTAGAATTAGGTTTAGGTTAGGGTTAGTTTCAGAGCGTGATGGTTAAGGTTTAGGTTAGGGGCTAAGGAATGCATTATGTTAATGAGTGTCCTCACAAAGATAGAAGTGTGTGTGTGTGTGTGTGTGTGTGTGTGTGGATCTCCTGCTGGATTGCAGCCTCGTTCCTCTCTCTGGCCCCAGCACTCGGCATGTTTGTAGTGGGGATAAAGGAGATTATTGGAGCATGATAATATGATGATGGAGAAGTTCACAGGTTTGAGAGGCCTCGTCACCGCAGAGCAACATTCACTTCTTACTACAGACTAACGGACTTTTAGACAAACAGCTGAAACGCATGTTAACTTTAGTTTTCTGTTGATTTGTTCTTTTCCCCCACAGTATCTTGTTTGTGACTCAAGTAATGAGGAGAAATTCCAACAGACTGTTATTGGTTAGTTAACAGGTCAAACACTGTCTTTGTCCCAGTCTGAGGTCAGGACGGTGTTTTAAAGCTGCTCAGTCATTCGATCTGTTCATTTGTCCAGAACTTTGATCATCATAAAACATCTCAGCAGCTACTGACCTGATGCTCATGGTGTTTGGTCTGGATATTCACGGCGCCCAGAGGATGATTACAAATCATTTTTGTGACACCTCGACCAAGTCATTAGTTGAGAAAAGATATCTTGAAAACTATTGGCTTGATTTTCACAAAATTTAGTTGTTAACGTTTTTTTACGTGGAGCTCTTTTAACGTCATCAGGTTTAGGTTTTCCACAAGTACACAAGAAATATTTCTAGTGGATAAACTCTTTTGACCTCAACGACCCCGTGGTATTTCCTGTAGCGTCACTTACAGCTGGACTTTCTTTCAAAATTCACTGAAATCAGTTCAAAGAAACGAAACGTATGGATCAGAAAAACCTCCTGGAAGACAGGAAACTATTTAAAATAATGAGAGAGAATTTCAGGAAGCTCAAGTTAAGATTTGGGATAATCTTTCTTTTTACACAACTTTTCAGTCACTTTCTGTGTCAGGGACTTGAGCGTCAGTGTTGGGAATATGTAGCAGAGATATGAGCTGTAATTTATGACTAATTTATAACTGTTTTCTTCCTTTTACTCCCATCAACTCCATAAACCAGATAACTACAAAAACTACATTTCCACATGAGCACACAAACCAAATACGTTTGTTGCTGTGTTTGAAAACTAAAATTATAGTCACTCAATGCATTTCTCTTTAAAGCCCTGTCCTAGCATGAATGCATTGATTTTACTGACAAAATGTTTAGTAAGAGTGTGTATGTGGTTTGTGTGTCAGCAGTCTCTGTGTCAGTAGGGACATTGACGCGGCTACACAAATGAAGGTCACCCTGAAGCAGCCATGACACCAGGCAGGATATTCTGCCGTGGAGGGGAGTGAATGAATGCTAAAGCCCTCCCTCCCCTCTCTCTCTCTCTCTCTCTCTCTCTCCTATTTTTTGAGGCGTTTTTTTGTATAGCACAGACGGGTGGGGAAAGGCAGCACAGGGAGACCGTTCTTTTCATTCATGCACTCAGTGACTCGTGGCTGCAGCCTGCAGAGGATGGGGCAGAGGGGGGGGGGATCGTGGGCAGGATGGAGGGGAATCGAGGGAGGGAAGTCCTAAATCACCAGCAGTTCAGGGGGGGAAAAAAAGAGGGACGTCAGAGGCTTTGCACGTCACTGAGTCAGCAGACACGGGCCATTTTACGCAGAGCGTGGTGACGTAACCAAGCTGCAAGAGAGAGGGGGGGGGTCGTCTCTGACTATGTATAGCAATGAAGAGATTTGTTGCATCAGGCCTCAACAGCAATTTAAAGAGAAGCTTCAAACTATGTATTGTCTATAACTGAAAAGGGACGTTTTTCAAAGTGCGTCGCACTGATGAAAATGATTTCCACAAAACCACGAAACCATCACTCCTGTCACATATTAGAGGCTGAAGTCCTGCTTACTTCCAGCTATTTTATTGTAGTTTTTACAGGAATTAAAAACACGATTCACTTGGAGCATTAGATTAATTCGCATTTTGTCTACTTCTATCCATTCTATTGTTCTGTTATCGCAAGGTAACGAGGGCTTTTTTAATTCTGAAGTGAGTTTATGTTGAGCCATCAACCTACTGTGAGGAGGTTTGATGAAGGTCAAACAGAGGAGTTGCCCACACACTGGAAAAACTTCACAGGCTTTTGTATGAGCTTTTCCAATCAGTCACTGATTTACACCTGGAGGTGCAACTGAATATAATTAACCTGCAGGCTGAACGGAAAAGCAGCTTTCCACTGTGTCTCCTACCATAGATGATAACTACCACAATAGAATATATCATTTCCTGTCATTAAAAAGAAATAACACAAGAAATCTGTCAAACAAGGACTTTGTTTTATGAGCTGTCACTCAGTGCCGCATTCAAAAACCAAGCAACTGCAGTGTATTTTAATTTAGGAATGTTTTGTGTTACGTAGGAGGTTCGTGTATTAGATTATATTTGTCTGGAGAGACGAGAGCTCGAGATAACAAAGTCATTCTTGGGGGTGGAAGTGGAGGGGAGTCTCTATGCTCCATGGTAAGTGTAGGTTCCTCGAGGCTGGGGACATTACATTTAGTGGGGGCTTGTCCGCGGTTTGAACTCAGGGCCTCCTCTCTCTTTTGGTTATTTGTGTTATTATTCATCTTTTTAGTAAAAAAAAACAACAACACCTCATTAGGGTGCAGAGTTCACGCTGTGCATAGTTTAGCAACATTACAGAAGAAAACCTTTCCAAGGTCAGGAATGAATGTCCAAGTTCAATCGTCCACAACGAGAGGTTTAGATATTCCAGTTATCAAGCACATTTTCAAGTAATTAAATGCTGGTATGCAAGTTGTCCAGCATGGATATGGGTATCTTTCTGTGGGAGGGAGGGCTGTTGCAGGAGATAAGAAACCGTCACGAGTCACGAGTCTGTTTCTGTAACTGTAATCTGTGTAAAGCTGTGAGGAGATGGTTGCATGTTGTATCTTGATGCCCTTCAGCCTGTAGTTGATGCTGAAATGTGATGCAGCAGGAAGAGAAATGATGACATCATCGTGTGGTTGCCCTGCCCCTCTGCACGTCCACATCTGGGTGCCGTGGCAACGTGCGAGACGTGCCGGCCGGAGGGAAGTCTCTGGCTCTGTGTCCTGCTGGCAGGTTATCATGCAGATGCAGCTTCCTCCTTCAGCCCACAGTCACCCCCCCCCCCCCCCCCCCCCCCCCCCCCCCTCTCTCTCTCCTCCCCTTTCTCTCCCTCACTCCCCTGCTGCTGTAGGAGAAGCCCCCCTCCTCTCACCAACCCCTCCCCATGCTTCCCTTCCTCGCCTTTCACATCCCCAGCTCAGCCAATCAGAGGGCTCGGTGGGGGCAGGGCATAGCGTGAACCACCACTCGAGTGCAGAGCTGTTGCATCTCCCCAGAGCTAACAGGGAGCTAGCGGCTCAGAGGGAGGAGACACGCTCAAACCCAGCCTCTGTGTGTGTTTGTGTGTTTAAGTGTGTGCGAGGCTGTGAGTGTGTGCCTGTCGCAGACTAGCAGGCACGGCTGCTGCTGCACTCTTGTTTCACCACACTTTTTCCTTTTAACCTTGCCTTGCCACGGTGCTCAGCTCAGGCCTGCTTCCTCCTCCGCTTCAGGATAAAGAGGGATCAGCGTGGGGGGACAGGAAAGTACGGACGGCAGCCTTCCCTTTCCCTCCTTCTTTACTCTCCAACCACCTCATAGCTCCTGACAGCTCCTGGCGGACGTGCAGGCAGGATGATAGCGGCTCAGCTTCTGGCCTACTACTTCACCGAGTTGAAGGATGATCAGCTCAAAAAGGTGAGTGAAAGCAGCTTTGGACTGCCACAGTGGTCCTTTTGTGTTGGGCTGGAGAGCTGTGTAATGTGACAGCAGCCTGGTGGACAGCCATGGACGCCGGTTAACGGTAGCTGCATGTCAGCATTTAGCCTGTGGGGCGTTATCAGGCTGGGAGAGGAGGATGCAGCATTTGGGAAGTAGAGGAGGAGGAGGCCATGATGAGCTCTAATTTGGATGTGATTCTATTTTAGTTTGCTCGGGGGGTTAGTAGTGTTTGACATGTGTGTCCTTGACGAGGGCTGTGGTCAGTGACCGTGGTGATGTGCTGCAGACGGACCCTCATTATCGGGTGTCTTCCGGAGCGTCGGTTGCCAGGGCGTCTGAAGCAGACAGGTGTCTGTGTGGCGGCTGTTGGGGAAAGTCGTGAGCTCCATGATACTGTCCGTTCCCTCGCCCTCTTTCTCCACTCACTCATTATTCCTCTTTTTTTCACGGTTGTTCTCTCCTGTTTCATCTCTTCTCCCTTTACTCCATTATTCTTTTATTACCTCCGGCGAAGACGACATAAACTCATTAGCAAAGCACAGACGTTGCCATCAGTGAAATCTGAGCTGGATTACAGCCGTGGTCCATCCAAAGAAACCGACCTTGGGTTCAGTAGAAATTCGCCACTGGACGGGACGACAGCCCAGCAAGATGTTCCCAGGGACGGAGAGTGAGTGGGAGACTCGTGATGTCACGCATGATGTCACTGTGCAGTATTTGCACGTGCCTCTGATGAAGTAGGCCGCCGCAACTTGACAGAGTCCCTCTGGGCAGTAAAAAAAAAAAAAAAACATTCCTCGAAAGAATGAAAGTTCACCAAATACGGAAATCCTGGATCCAGGCTGGTCCACTCAGGACCTTATGAAGAAACGTGTCTCTGTTGAGTCCAAAGTTTCCAGAGAAAACAATAATGCCCGGCTAAATTTAGGGGTATTGTTTACAAAAATGATGCTTTGCACGCGGCGTCTTGGGTTCGAATATTTAACTCACTGTTAGCATCATATAGCTTCAATGAAATGTTGGAACAAAACTGATACAGAATAGATATGATATTGGGCTTTCTTTTTTTTTTTGTATATTTAAAGAAATGTACTTTAAGAAGAAAATCAAGAGTTTAAGAAGTCGAATAACTGAATGAATAAAAAAACAATTAAACTACCTCGATATAGATTCTCCAAAAGGCTGAGGGTGAAGGACAGGAATAGAGAAAGACGTGATTTGCCGTTTACTATTTACTGGAAATCATCTAATTATATTAAATACTCTGTAATGTTACTGTACCTCACGTTACATTAGCCTTTCTGAGAGGCTAATAATAGCAATGCCACACAGAGACACCTGACGAGAAACAAATGTGTGGACGGTGTCTCACGGCACAGAATAGATTTCTGAACTGTGCCGTGCCTCATGGCATGTGCTCTGTGATTATGTAACAACAACAGTGAGTGTCCAGTGTAAACCCGCCCCAACAAACATCCCATTAATTAGATGCATTAACTGTAATGTAACAATCAAACTGCACAAGAGAAGCTACGTTAGACAAACTGATTATTCTGTTGTTGCATTTACTGATGTGGTGTTTTATGAAACTGCACTGTAAACAGTCTTAAGACAAGATGAAAATATCTCCACCTTGTGCGACACGTTTAAGGGGGTTGAGGTGCCCTGGTTCGGGCTCTGCTCCACAATATATGGTGCTTTGTGTAAAGTGAATCAATCTATTGATCTTTTAAACTACCACCCAGACTCCAGTATCCAATATCCCCAACATGTCTCCTGTGCAATTTGTAGAGGAAGCGGCAACACAAGCTAAGGTGTCACGACATACGAAAATAAAGGATGAGGTTTTTAAAATACCTTGTTGGTTGGAGCTACTTTCGTTAAAATGTGTTTGTTTATTCCAGTTGTAGAAATTACCTGAGCTCCCGAACTGTGTCTGCCTAATATTGTGACATGTTGATGAACGCTCCCTGACAACCCTCCCGTGTTTGTGTCCTGCCTCTTCAGATCGATAAGTACCTTTACTCCATGCGTTTCTCGGACGAGACGCTGAAGGACATCATGAACCGGTTCCGCCGGGAGATGGAGAACGGGCTCGGCCGTGACACGAACCCCACCGCCACCGTCAAGATGCTGCCCACCTTCGTCAGGTCCATCCCTGATGGATCAGGTACAGTGTACATGAAGAGACGCATCATCATCTTACCACTAATAATACTATTCTGATCAAGTGCACCAATATAATTGATTAATCAAATGCGCAGTTCACAGCTGAGTTTCTGAATTGAAACAGTGGGATGAGGGGAAAATGAGGTATTTGAGGACAATGTGGAACCCTAACAAAACTAGGGAGAGTAGCTTTAGCATGTTGTGCAGCTGTAATTTAAACTTTAAAGCCTGAAAATGTTTTAATCTAGGCGTAGCTGCAAACCTGCTTCACTCTGTCTCTGCTGGAAATATTCACCTGGAGGTCAAATACTGAATCACCTGCCACTGAACAACATCTGTCACTGGTGTAACTTGACCTTCCTCGTATTATCTTGTTTAAATTCATAGAGTAAACACTGCTCGTAGACAAAAACACAAGGTCTCATTATTGCTTGGCTCATGATGCAGTAAACTGTACGACAGATGCACGACGATGACAGACGAACGTCGCCTCTTTCACAAAATTGTCGATGGAAAAAATTTAAATCGGATGAAAGTGATTCCCTTTCAGATATTGCTAACAGGTCGAGTTACACACAGTCTACCTATACTATATAAGTGTGTTAAAGCGCATCCTGACGTATCCTGTATCTATCTGTTTAAAAAAATGTGCTGATGTGTTAAAATCGTCAGGTCTGTTATGTGACATAAGCCTCTTTGTGCTCTGGATTTGGACTCAGTAGATCACAATTGTTTTAGCCCCTGGGCCAAACAGTTCAAACAGCAGGATCACATGCTGTGTTCATCTCATAACAACATACGAACCACGGATTTTAAATTTCATGGGGGACAATTTAATGACCCACAGTCTTATATAATCCACTCACAACCTTTTTGCAAAGTATTAAATATTCATGGTTGCCAGTCTGAGCCTTGGCCTGTTGTCATCCGGGGCTCATGCCAGACATCAGTAACATACTCGCTGTATTACATTACGATCAGGATTGTGCCGCGTTTATTTTGCTGAAATTAAGATTGGCAACTCGAACGTCTAAAAGGATTAAAAAAAAATACATAAATAAAAATAAAACTACTAGATAAATTTTAAAATATGAGAAAATATCATTTAAAAAGAAATAGTTATATAGTGATAGACTTTATACTAAAAACCACCAACCATAGTATGTATAAGATAATAAAATAACATGTCAAAACACACAAAAAAAGCACATATTACTATGTAGTTATTTTCTAATTAACTTGCCACAATATTGAAATTACAGGAAAACAAATCTAGCAATGCTTCATTTTCAGGTTACTTTAATAATCCGACTGCTACAGGTATAGTAATCAACTCCCTGGGGAAATCAACTACAAATATTTAATTAATGGTGTAATAATTTTCGCTTCCCCCCCCCCAAAGTGAAGCCGTTTATGACTGTGCGCTTTGATATTGTTTGACAAAGTAAAGGGGCGTTTCACGTGTTAAAGAAACCAAACCACCCGCTCAGAACAGCTCCTAAAGTCACAAACCGGACCTATAATGCTGCGTAGCTCGGCTCGTCCTTGTTAGTAAACAGTGCCTATGCACAGAAATAACATCAAGTGCCTGTCAGAAATGCTGAGGCCCGGACAAGGCCCGTGGTGGTGGTGAGGGGGGGCTGTCGCCTCACTTCTCTCACTTTATAAATAGCCTGAGGTTTATACGCCAGCATGAGGTTGGAAGGGATCATGCAAAGGGCAGAGCTGCAGCCATGGTGATAATTAAAACTGATAAACATTTGGAAGCTAGAGTTTCAGCAGTTATGAGTTATAACACACCATGATGACTGACAGGACAAACCACTGCACACATCATCTCCTGTAACCTGAAGGGCGGACACAGTTCGTCTACTGCAGTCAGACTTTGTGTGCGGCTCGAAGGAAAATGAGTGAATGAAATCAGGGCGAAGCTCTAATGATGTCAGCAGTAATCATTACGGCATAATGAGATTACACTGAGGGTAAAAGCCAATATAGATAAAGATGTAGAGAGAAAAAAATGTCCCATTATAGCCTCACAGATCCAGTCTAAATCTCACGAGTTTAGTTTTAGTTCTGAGCTTTTAGTCGGAAAAAAACATCAACTGAGAATCTGCTGATCCATCAAGGTTTAATGTTGTTTTCCCGCATCTCGTCCTCACATCAAAACGAGGTTCGACATAATGAAATTAACTTATCTTAAGCTCTTCTTGCCACCCTTTTTTTCTGAGCTTTCAACTGCATCTCACAAATTTTTTTCAGGGGATGTTTCCTTATTTGGCACGGAGATTGCTCGGCGGTCAATGTGTAAACTCGGCTCACGTGCTAACGGTGAAAATGCATCGGGTACTGTTGAGTGCAGGTGAAATTCTATGTTTAGGATCAGTCACCATGTTCGTCCAATACGAGCAAAATAAACCAAAACTCCACTAAGTTGAGTTTTTATAATAGTTCAGCAAAAATAAATCCACACGTCACTTTCTTTTGATTGTTTAAAAGCTCATCCAATTGTCTGCAAAGTAATATTTGTGTGACACAGCCTCCCAGACTGCAACAAGCAGAGCTAAATATGTGGCTATAAAAGGCGACACTGAGTGGATGAAGTCTTGTCACATTACAAACTAAATTCACTCTTTTCCCCACAGTGAATAAATAATGACAATAATGTCACACTACAATAGAGAGGGCTCTCAAAAGTTAAACATTCATCCAGACTTAATCAATACTGAATCAATAGCTTACTGAGGTGCAACAAGCAAGGCTCTGTGATCAACTGTGTTGTTCACCAAGCTTGAACTCTGCGAACGAGCCAGGAGACAAAGATGGACAAGGATTTTTTCTGGGACCTAAACTCACAATGTGACCACACCTTCAGCTGCTCCTGCTCTGGCTCTGATATTTCTTTTTTTTTTCTTTAGAGATTAGATCTTGTGAAAACTGAGTAAACATCTAGGTTTGGTTTGTTGCCAGAATTAAAGCCAGGATTAAATTTAAGAATGCCAGGCACATTTCTCCTGTCTAGTCATTTGAATCCTTGTCCCACTGAGTCTTGGTGCTGGTGCATCTTTATTTCAAGCTTTTCTTACGATGGTTTATTACTGACAGGACTTGATTTAATGGGTTTGATTATGGAATTACTGCAACAAATACTGAAAATCAACTTGTGTATATATAAACCAAGAAGCAGCACCACAGTTTACACATGCTTGTACTGAGGTCACGAGGGCTGTAAACTGGACACATGCTCTGCTGCATGTCGGTAACACTTCTATATGTCAAGCCTGATCACGTCTCATTCCAGTCAGGTCAAGGGGATAAATAGCATAACGCAGCAACGCGCTACAGTCATGGTGGCACTGAACGAAGAACACTGTTTTGTGTCATGTAACCGAAAGGTCGCAGGTCAGATCCCAAAGAAAGAAAGAGTAAATGCATATCCACACACTTGTCATGTGTTCGGTTCCAGTGTCACTTAATCCCTCTACGCTCCGTCACTTGAAGTCACTTTAGATCAGCGTCAAACAAACACCTGAAAAGGTAAAATAATCATTCTAATTCAAAATGAGAATATAAATATTATATGTAAACTTACAGAGCTACTGCTCTACAACGCGCTGAATTCCTGCAGGAAAATACAAGTGATCAAATAGCGGAAATTATTAGGTGTCTTCCTACATGCATTCGCTAATTAGTCACATTTTATTGGAGGTTACGACCTGTTGTTTTAACATAAAGAAGAATCTTAACAGGTACCAAGTTGTGTGTTAATTTTTCAATAAGTAAAATGAAACCAACTCTATATCTGATGTTATGAGAAAGCTTCTCTCCACGGGGGGGGGGTGGATTTACATTTGGGCTTTTTGCCTGGAACGACACTCCACCTCTGCACCTGGCTGGCAGCTCCGCTCACATAAAAGGGTTTCTGTGGAAAACTAGCTCAAGAGCATCTTGAAATTAGGTCATTTTTTTTTTGTGTGTGTGTGTGTGAGTGTGTGTGTGTCTTTGCTTTTCATGCCTCAGTTCCTGAAGGGTTCAAGTTGTGCCTGTTTGTATTACCAGCTGTATTCGTGAGTTTGCTGTTTTGTGTTTCATTACACACCTGTCACAAATCCAGACTCTGGAAAAGTCTAAAACGGTATATATGGTAATAAAAGGTCCGAGATCATCTGCTTTTAATGCGAGTGCAAACATATCGGTGTATCTTCTCCTACTGATGACATTAATCTTGTAGTTACCAGCAGGAAAGACGCTCTTTGGGAGACGTTGTGTGCAAAGCTTTTTCAACGACATGTCAAAGTTTGGAAATGATAGCTCAGGGAATCACTGGCAATGACACTTAGAACAGTATCAGCTTTAATGGGTAATCAAAAACTAATTTAAAAAATCCTCACACCAGAGCAGGCCTTAGTGTTTTTAGGATCCTAAAGAGAGATTCCAGTAAATTAAAAAAAAACAAACTTAGAACTTTACTGCCGTCAAGTGGAAAAAGTCATTACTCAAAATTTTTCTAATTTTCCAAATCCATTTAAGGCCAACATGCTCCTCTGTGGAGACATTTTTTAATCCATTTGGCTCATCAACTCCCTCAAAAACCTTCCTTTGTATGACAATTGCAAAACAGTGCAACTTAAACTTTAGGCCATTGGACTTTTATCTGCCTCACATTTAAATCTGTGACGTTTTGATATGAAATGTTATGAGTTATATGCTCCCAGGTGCCAGTTTATTAGGTACACCTACAGCTAAAACTAATGTAGTTTAATGCAACAGTCCTGCAATGAATCCTACTGTAGGTTATACACTGTTGATTAAACTTTATGGTCATTTTGGAGGCAGCAGTTTGCGGTGCTGTTGAACTGTATTGCATTATACCAACAGGTGTTTGTATTACTTTCCAGCCCATTTAGATTAATGAGGGTAGTCCAAATAACACAGCCACGACAAATCATAAACACCCAGCAGATCAAAACATCAAAACAAGAATCTACCTCGCAGATTACCATTTTAAAAAATATCTACCGTTTTCTCTTCCTGACAGAAAAGGGAGACTTCATAGCTCTGGACCTTGGCGGGTCTAACTTCCGGATCCTGCGTGTCAAAGTGACACAGGACAAGAAGCAGCCGGTTCAGATGGAGAGCCAGGTCTACGAGACCCCTGATGACATCATCCACGGGAGCGGGACACAGGTAATCACAGATATACATCAATTATTTTTTATGTCGTGTGAAACTTTCTAAGAGCCTCAGATATAAAACATCAGGCCTCAATATTCTGTAAGTTTCCTCACAGACCGGGTGAAGTGTCCTAACGCTGTAATCCCCATCATCAACAATTACTGCATGACCCAAGTCAGACAGTCGATTGTTTCCACTCAAAACAGTCAGTGTTTGTGTCTGCCCTCCAAACAGAGCTCAGCAGTGTTTAAGGTCAGCCGGGGGAACAATTTGTGTAAAACGACCTCCCGAGTAACGCAGGGAGTAATGAGAGTGACGTCAGAACCTGCGCTGACCCACAGTGGACTTGTAGAGAGCAGCTGGCAGTCGTGTTGTAACACGATAACCCAAAACACGAGCGACTGTCTGAGGCCGTGCGATTGGCTCAGAGCGCGACTTACACAGATGGAACAGGACAGATGCTGTTTAATGAAATGTCGGAGGGACAGCTGGCGAAAAACGTAACGTGATATATGAACAGGTTTGTTAAACAAAAGAGGGTTTTTGTTTTTTTTTGCATTGTCAGTGACTTTGTGAAATATATGATTTCGAACAGCCTCCGTCAGAATGAAGACGTATTATCTTTATTAAGTATAAAGTGACTCCAGTGGAGCTCAGAGAGCACATGAAGAAATCAAGTTGTTTACATAATGTTATGAATATTTGTGTTGTATCTTGTACATCAACCATTTCCAGACTTGTGAATCTGTTACTAAGCAACCAAATGGTTTTTCTCTGCAACTTGCACCTGCTCCTGATAATGGTTTTAAGTATAAACATATATATATATATATAAACATAAAACATGCCTCTGTAACTTTTATACTTTTAAAAATACATTTAAGCTTCATCTAAATGAAGCTTGAACATTTGAGAACTGTGAAGTAATGAGTGTTTCAACTTCTAATAATAAAGGAAAGTGTTGAATGTTTGTTAATGTGTTGTAAGTAAAAATGTTTCGGCATGCTGCCTTGTTGTTCTACAGAGTTTAAGTCCCCTTTCTGTCTTGCAGCTCTTTGCCCATGTCGCAGATTGCCTGGGTGATTTCATGGAGAAGCAAAAAATCAAGGATAAAAAGCTTCCTGTGGGATTTACGTTCTCCTTCCCCTGCGCCCAAACCAAACTGGATGAGGTAAACGTTTAAACAACTGTGTTGTAGACTTTGTAGTTAAGGAGAAAACTGCGCTGCAATCATCTTTCAGACTTTTACAGATACTGTACAGTTTCATCCATCAGATCTGAGAGTCAGCAACATGAAGCTGCATCAAGATGACGAAATCTTCAAAGTTTTACATTCTTATAAACCTATTTAGACGTTGAATTTGTGAACAGAAGGTGTATAAAAGCTTTTTAGAAAAACACACTTTCAGATTGCAGATGTCTGCCGTTACGTAAAAGGTAAATTTAGTGTAATTGTTGTCGCAGTTTCTTTGGGTGAATGTGGTTTTTGGAGCTGGTTGCTGTGGTTAGAATAGCAATGGACAGACATTTGAGATGTGTCCAAGCCTGTCTGACTGTAACTTAAAGTCTGGCCTTATAAAACTACTTCTTTTATAGGCGGTCTTAGTGACATGGACAAAGAAGTTTAAGGCCAGTGGTGTAGAAGGTGCGGATGTTGTGAAGCTTCTGAACAGGGCCATTAAGAAACGAGGGGTAAGTTTTTTATCTCTTTTTCCTTTTTAAGTGATGTGCAAATGTGATACCGTCTTTGAACAGAAACATATCACTCAAAGTTATGATTATACTTCTCATAATGCAATTTAAGATAATAAAATTATCAGGTATGGTAGGACAGACCAAAGTCCAGACCTCTGAGAGTTTGACTGAGTCTGACATAATCTTGTTTTTCCAGGACTATGAGGCAGACATCATGGCGGTGGTGAACGACACAGTTGGCACCATGATGACCTGCGGATTTGACGATCAGCGTTGTGAAGTGGGCATCATTATAGGTAAAGACACAGACGAAGTCACCACATATTTCCCCCTCCGAGTACCTTTCAAGTACAATGAGCGCAGTTCTACATGTGAGGGCGCCAAAGGTTTTACAATCTTACCCCGGTGCATCACACTGCACCCTGCGCACTGAGCTCCGCAGAGCGTAACAGTCACGCAGGACAGGACTCATTCACCTCTGCATCCATTCAGGAACGGGAACAAACGCCTGCTACATGGAGGAGTTGCGTCACATTGACCTGGTGGAGGGAGACGAAGGCCGGATGTGCATCAACACCGAGTGGGGTGCGTTCGGGGACGATGGGTCCCTGGAGGACATTCGCACAGAGTTTGACCGTGAGATCGACAGAGGTTCTATCAACCCAGGAAAACAGCTGTAAGATCTTCCTTTAAAAAATTTTGTTGATATGCATCAGTCTTGATTTTGATTACGTAGCCAAATCGGCAAAGGTGTTTCATCTACTACAACAAAGTAGTACGCTTGAAATCCTGAAGGATCCGGGGATCCTTTTGTCGTTGTCTTATTTTAACACACTATTCTAGAAAAGAGCTCTTTTTGTTTCTGAAGTGCAACCGTAACGTTATGTAACAGAAAAAGAGGTTACAGGCCTCCCAAACTCCCATCTGCCAAGCAAATGCAGCAATTCGACAATTCTACTGAGGGGCCTTTAAAAGAGAAGATGAAGTGACTAATGCAAACTGTATCCACGACTCGTCATCTGAAAGTGCTGCTGTGTTTCGCTCTGCCCAGGTTTGAAAAGATGGCCAGTGGGATGTACATGGGAGAGCTGGTTCGACTCATCCTGGTCAAGATGGCCAAAGAGGGGCTGCTGTTTGAGGGACGGATAACCCCCGAGCTCCTGACGAAAGGAAAAATTGAGACAAAACATGTCTCAGCTATTGAGAAGTGAGTGGGGGGGAGGTGACTTACAGTGTAATACATGTAAACAAACACAAAACCAATCGTGGGAACTAAACAAAAAAACAAAAAAAACTGCAGGTTCTGCAGGTGCATGGATGAAATTCTTCATAATGATGAATACCTCTGATTTCAGGACTAAAGAAGGACTGAAGAAATGCATGGAGATCCTGACGAGGCTCGGGGTCGAGCCTTCAGATGAAGACTGTCTGGCCGTGCAGCATGTGTGCACCATCGTATCTTTCCGCTCGGCAAACCTGATTGCCTCAACACTGGGAGGCATCCTCTCGCGCCTAAAGGAAAACAAAGGAGTCGCACGCCTCCGCACCACCGTGGGCATCGACGGGTCTCTCTACAAGATGCACCCTCAGTGAGTACTCAGTACTAAGAACAGGCACTGAAGGGAGGGTAACAACAAGCAAGGCTAAATGCTTAGATTGTCTTGTAAAGTCTTCATGTTGCGCTTCATAGTTTCCGTGAAAGACAAACAAAACAAAAAGACGAGATGACAACTACAGCGCTTAGGGATCAGCCAGCCATAAATTCTTCAAACAGGATCCTCTGAGGGAAAACAGGGGATGCACACGAGACACGCCTTTTTAGTGGTGGGAAGATTTCAGATTCCCATAAATCAGGCATCAATGAAAACTCCCACACAAATCCCTTCTGATGTGCTTTAATTTAAGGTGAGGTTCCTTGATATAAAAGCTTTTAGCTTTTGAGCTGGGTGATATCATGATGGTACGATCTTTCTGCGGTGCAAAGAAGTAATAAATCTGAGCAAGCTCTAAATTCAAATTAACTATTATTAGTTATTAAAGTTTTGTATGTGATGCCAACAACATGGAATAATGAAAAGCATGACACTGAAATACAGGTCTGAACATCACTTTCATTATTTTAAAATTTGATTATACCATGTAATGATAAAATACTAGAAAATATCCAGATTAATATCAACATAATTATTTCAAACACATCACCCAGCCATCACTAACAGGTTAAATAAATCACCGTAAAATCAAAAGTAGTGCAATATTATGAAATAGTTTCACTTCAGTGAAAGGAGATACCATATGTATGTGTGAAATACCAGTCAAGAGCCTCTCAAATACTGCGCAGTATCTTCCCCTCTCTCCACTTCCTAACACGGTTTGATCACCTCTGAAGATTAATATTCTAGATTTGGTTAAACAGATAAAGTCTCCGTGTTTGATGACGATATCTTCTGCTCTCCGAACAGATACGCTCGCCGTCTGCACAAGACAGTGCGCCGCCTGATCCCAGACTCTGACGTCCGCTTCCTGCTGTCCGAGAGTGGGAGCGCGAAAGGCGCAGCCATGGTGACAGCAGTGGCGTACCGTCTGACGGAGCAGGCGCGCCAGATTCAGCAGACTATGGCGGAGTTCCGGCTGAGCAAAGGCCAACTGTTAGAAGTGAAGAAACGCATGAGGATGGAGATCGAAAGAGGCCTCAAGAAGGACAGCCACAAGGAAGCCGCAGTCAAAATGTTGCCCACCTTTGTCCGAAGTACACCAGATGGATCAGGTGACTGTGCTTTCAACATATCAGTATATCTATCTATCTATCTATCTATCTATCTATCTAGCTTTATATCACACAGCAAAAAGTTGCATGTGGAATGAATAAGGCATCAACAGAGTAGGCTCAGACAGAGTAGGCTGAAGTTAGTTTGATCATCTCCAGTTGGAAAAAGTTTTACCCAAAACGGTCCGGTAAAGATCCGGGGGCAAACCTGCAAACATTAAAATGTTTTCTCCCCCTGTGATTGGAGACACAGCTGCTATTTAGAAATGTTGATCAGGTTTGTTGGGTCGCACACGTCCTGGTTGGCAACACTGTAAATCATAAATCATATTTGTGCTCACACTGACAGTTCAAGTGTCATCAAAGAAGTTATTCACCAACTTAAACTAAGTTCATCTTCTTTTGTGAAGTTTATGGATGGTTACAAATTGCAATGCTTCGTCTACTTGGCAGTTTTCCAAAATCAGACGGATTAGAGGATGAGGCAATCTCGAGTGAATCAGGTTTTTCCGCATTATTTTAACAGACATCAGCAATCGGTGTCTATCATGTCATTATCACTTTAAACTGTCATCACTCATGTCTTACAACTAGCTGTAGTTAGCTAACCAGTTCAGACAAGCACAGTCTTTTAAAGACACGAGGAAGTACCAACTACATCTGTAACTCTAAATAAAACTTATAATTTTACGACTATTATGAAATCTTCAACTTTAATATTCAAGAAGTCAAATTAGACTTTAGGCAGCAATATTTCTTGTACAATAAAATAAACACAATGGAAGAAAAAACTTCAGTGGTGACAGATTAAGCTCTCTCAGTCCTCAGGCTAACAAAGGCCTTTTTCTCGTAATACAGAAAACGGCGACTTCCTCGCTCTGGACCTCGGAGGGACAAACTTCCGTGTCCTTCTGGTAAAGATCCGCAGCGGGAAGAGGCGATCAGTGGAGATGCACAACAAAATCTACGCCATTCCCATAGAGGTCATGCAGGGCACTGGAGAAGAGGTAACGAGGATCTCTCACATTACTGTCAAACAGGAGTCTTTCCTGTTTGCAAATAGATTTACTCCTGTGCTTTCCTTTTCTTTTTTCCCGTCACGTCTATCAGTGTACTGCTCACAATAAACAACATTTGGAGCATGTGTGTGCTTGTAGCGTTTGGGTTGCTATGGTCACAAGGGGAGAGAAACATTTTCGTTTCACCATAGAGAATAAAGTATTTGCAAAAACCCCACCATTCCTCCCAGTAAATAAACCACTAAAAGCATAAATGTCTGCCTTCCAGCTCTTTGACCACATTGTGCACTGCATCTCCGACTTCCTGGACTACATGGGAATGAAAAGTGCTCGACTGCCGCTGGGTTTCACCTTCTCCTTCCCCTGCCATCAGACCAGCCTGGACGCAGTATGTTTTTCTTTCTCGTTTCTGCAAAATTACTTCAAGAAAAAACAAAAAGAGAAAGTAAAAAAAGTACCAGACCTGAGCTGCTACAAGATAAATGCAGTTGGAGCAGAAAGATCAGAGCAAAGGGCAATAAACTCAAGCAATTAAAGAAAGTATCTTGACATTTAGATTATAGTTCATTGTAGACACAGGCTTCCTCTGCTGGCTACTGGGTGTGGCTGAACATTAACAGCTACTGTTCATTAGCAGTACTAATCCATTGTCTCCCTTCATATTTTTCCTTTTAGTCAAGACGGCTGCTTTTCAGACTATTATAGCCTGTTGTACTACCCGAGCAGTTTATCTTTAATTGTCTGATTATTAGATACTTCCCCAGTAAGTGTCATGTGCTCTGCAGGGTATTCTCGTGACCTGGACCAAAGGCTTCAAGGCCACAGACTGCGAGGGCGAAGACGTGGTGGAGCTCCTCCGGGAAGCCATCAAGAGGAAAGAGGTAATATAGGAAATATATCTGATCACATCGCATCATCAGCTGTGCTGCAACTAGAACTGCAGCAACGCAGACGACACAGACGCTACAGTCTCTCCGGTGCTTTCAACACATAACATTTCATGTGATATTTTCCTGTGGCGTTATTGTGCTGCCACAGTGAAAGTATTCTTCAGTCAGGGTCAAACTTGTCATCCATCTATATCTATATTCTACACCTTACATATCTGCCATTTCACCTGCTGGTTAGAATTAACTTCTGGCTGCTGCTAAAACTTTTCTGGACCAATGCCACTTGTATAAGACGGGGCACAGTTTGGCCTATTTGAAACGAAGGTGACGTGGATTTAAAAACTCTCATCAAACGTCTGATTGGCAGCTAATAAAGGTGGCACTCAACCAGCGTCTGTGATTGCAGACCTCAAGTGCTTAGAAGTGAAGCGTCTGTAAAGAATGCGGAGATACGCAGGACACAGTCTAATACAGCACCTTCATACAATTGAACGGGCAAAATACTCATTAGTACTACAGTAATAATACAACAGATATTGCAGCAGTCAACTACTGTACACCACGTGGCAACATACCAACCCTGGCGCACTGACACCTTTGAACTCAGCAGCAAGTTAGTAGTTTCAGCATAAAGACACTTAACCCCGCCCCCTACTGTGTAAACCCACAAGCTTAGCAGCACCTACTACATCCTGGTATAAACATTACAGCGGGCCAATCACTCATCATTAACAAAACACATTCTGCTTACTTACTATTGTTATCTTTTTTTTTGTATTCATTGAGTTATTTTCTTAATATTCAAATGTCTTCCCGTTTGAGTTTCTTATATTGATTTCACCCTTTTAGATGGAGGATCCAGTAAGTATAAAGTGACTGTAAATGATTAACTGAGAGGTAAAGCAGTGGGGGACTGCAGCAGTGTGTGGTTATTGTTGTCATAGCATGTCCATAACACCAGGAAAAACCTGGGTTCAGATATTGTGGAGGAGTGTGCCTTTCTGTGTCTGCAGTGTGGGATCTTATTTAAAGTCAGAATTACAAGGACGATCCTCTGTACTTTGTGTGTGTGTCAGAGCTCCTCAATTTTGCAGTTCCCTGAAACGGCTTGTGTATTTTTATTGTATAGTTTGTCTGGGAATGTGAGTGAACTGCATTGTGCTCAGTGTGGCGTTTGAAAAGTTGCCAGGCCTGATATTAATCCCTCTGTCAACACGGCCCTTCAGCGACAACTGTTGGACATATAACTTGAAAGTTGTTTTAACGTGGAGTGAAAAACACCTGGAAACATAAGTGAAATTATGTTTTAAACAATCTTTGGTAAGAATTTAGTTTTTGCTAAAAGTAATCATCTGACATTTTGTGCCTTGCAGATAAAGAGATAAATAAATTTCTAGCTTGTGTATTCAAATAATTTAAATGTAAGTTTATTTGAACTTTCCTCTGTACGTTGATTTATTGGATTATAACTCAAAGCATGAGTCGTGAGTTGTGAGATTTGTGTGAAACTATCACAGCATATAAGCTCTTGTTGGAACGTACATGTGATTTCATCGTACTTCGGTACTTGTGTTGTTTGTTTTCTAGGAGTTTGAGCTGGATGTTGTCGCCATAGTGAACGACACCGTGGGGACGATGATGACCTGCGCGTATGAGGAACCCAGTTGCGAGGTGGGACTCATTGCAGGTGAGTTCAACCACTGTTGTTTTTAAAAAGAAACACATTTGATCTCCACATTTGTCATGAAAAAGTTAAAGAAAGGTGACAGCGTTCGACAAATAATTGGACGAGGAACTCGTATACTCTACAGTCTTATTATATGTAAGATATTTTTCTACACCTCCAATAGGGAACACTAATGTAAAATAAAATGTCTTGGATTTGTATCTTTATAAACGAAGTCTTGTAAAATCAGGAACTGTTCAGGGTTGAGACTGACTGTGTGTCCTGACAGGGACGGGCAGTAACGCCTGTTACATGGAGGAGATGAAGAACATCGAGATAGTGGACGGAAATGAGGGCCGCATGTGCGTCAACATGGAGTGGGGGGCGTTTGGAGACAACGGCTGCCTGGATGACATCAGGACGAAGTACGACCAGGCGGTGGACGAGAACTCGCTCAACGAAGGCAAACAAAGGTCAAGAGGCTTCCAGTATCGAACTACATCTTAGTATCTCCATAGCTAGTTTGAACACAAGTTAAACACTTTGCCAGTTCATAATCACATCTGGATCAAATAGCACATATAAGATATGTCCCAACTATGACTAAAATAATTTAGCCCCATCTGCTCATTACTGAGAAATGTTGAATGTCTCGTCTCTTTCTCACACGGTCAGATACGAGAAGATGTGCAGTGGCATGTACCTGGGCGAGATCGTCAGGCAGATTTTGATTGATCTGACCAAGCGTGGCTTCCTCTTCCGGGGGCAAATCTCCGAGACGCTGAAGACCAGGGGCATTTTCGAGACGAAGTTCCTGTCGCAGATAGAGAGGTGAGTGAATCACTTAGTACTTTCACAGCGGCTTTTTCCACCACATGAAACCCCGACCTGCTTCTCCAGAGGCAGGAAAAGGAACATTATCTATGTTGCAAACTAGCCGGTGGTAAGATTTTCTTAATTCAACAAATGGTTTCAGCTCATTTTTTATGCAAAATGTTCTTTCCAACTGAAATAAGTTTCATTGGTTTCAGCCTGACAGTTTGCACAAATTTTCAACATCATACAGGGAGAAATCCACTGATATAAGAAGAAAGATCTCTTCCTCCTCTGACAGACTTTTGAATGGTAGAGTCCATTTAGTTCAAATAATAATCTTTTACTTTGCCGACCAGCAGGCATTGGTTTCCATTGATTTCTATAAAGTAGGAAAATCAAGCTGCAGAGACATGAGATCAATTCTGTACTCCATCAGACTGAAAACCAAGTCAAAGTTGTGGTAACACAGACCAGGATATTAGTTCATCTGCACTTACAACTGTACATCGAAACAGCTGAAACATAAGTACTGAAATCGTGCTCGTCAAAGCAGACACGATTCTGCTCTGAAAGATTAGAGCATAACAAGGAGGTGCAGGTTGATTTTCATGTCGTGGTGAAATGAATGAAAGCTGGCAGCTGCCCGCAGGTAGGAAGAAAACTAATTAATAAACCTGAAATGTCAGACACTGACTGCTTATACACAACCTCTGGTGAAAACATGCAAAACCACTGGTATGATTTAGAGGTTGACTGCATGAACGCACAGGCTCAGCCATCATTGCTCACAGAGAAGTAACATCTAGGGCGATAACACACCTACAAAAGAGAGGAGGAGGGGGGACGCAATGTGACGACTTGAGTTTATACACTGTCTAAGCCTACCTTAGCCTCTGGGAACAGCTGTGAGGTATCCGGTGACTCTCCTGCTGTTGGCTGACCTCTGACATTCCCTCCCCCGTCCCCTCGTGCTCCACAGCGATCGTCTGGCACTGCTGCAGGTCAGGGCGATCCTGCAGCAGCTGGGGCTCGACAGCACCTGTGATGACAGTATTATCGTCAAAGAGGTGTGCGGCACGGTGTCGCGCCGCGCAGCTCAGATCTGTGGAGCCGGGATGGCTGCCGTGGTCGACAAGATCCGTGAGAACAGAGGACTGGACCACCTGGACGTCACCGTGGGCGTGGACGGCACGCTCTACAAGCTGCATCCTCAGTAAGTCACAGGATAGGAACATAATAGACGGCGTATTTTGGGGTGAAGGGAAGTTCATTCATTCAAAAACATGACAGTACATATTAAATGTCATCATGCTGCAAAGGTTGTTTCCTTTTCAATTTTCCTGTATCATATTTGAGGACATCGGATGACCTTTGCTGCTTCAAGTGGCAGAAAACTCATCTCTGAATTGCAGTATTTTAGACTGTCTACATTTTGTTTAAGAAGCTGAGAAACTGAACGTTTTTAGGCTGAAAAGTTTAAATTACTAATTCTAAATTATTTATACTTCCAATTCCTTATGAAGACATTTTTTTTTCAAGTCATCCATCAGTTTATTCTGACAGACGTGGTCTCTGTTTGGCATCCAAAAAGACATCAAAACAGAAGTGTGCTTTTCCTGGTTCCCAGAATATAAACTCTGTACTGTAACAATGAATCTATATTTGACAAAATAAATATATTAATTATTTCTCCATGAGAAAAGCCCTGAATGAACTGTCCCTTCTCTACCCTGTTGCTCATCCAAGCTAGAGTGATAACTACATGTCTCATTTCTTTAAATTCAGTAGCGAACTTGCCTCCTAACCACAGTTTCCTGCCGCCCTCCTCCCTCAGTTTCTCACGGATCTTCCAGCAGACTGTGAAGGAACTCGCCCCCAAATGTGAGGTGAACTTCCTGTTATCCGAGGACGGCAGCGGTAAGGGAGCCGCCCTCATCACCGCCGTGGGCTGCCGCCAGCGAGAGCTGGAAGCGCAGCAGCACTGAGGAGCTCCGCCCCCGTTTGTCCTCAAGAAACTACCTGCTGCTTCACCGTGACCTTCACCCACCGCACAGCCCAACTCCATCTCCCCTTGGCAGCCGTGACTCCACCTCTGCCCAACCTGGCCCCCCCACAGCCAGAGAGACATGCTGCATGCATAGGGAATTAAAACTGAATATCTAAATATTTATTTATACAGCAACAGAGGGTTTATTATTTCCATGTTTGTACATTTTCCTCTATAGCTTGTCAATAATCTGATAACTCTAAACTCCTTAGGTGTGCAATATTTGTGTATTGCTAATTTTATTTTTATATGGAGGCAAATATATAATTGTATTTATATAACTGAGGCCACTTTGAATCCCAGAGGTCATTAGGATTTTGCACCATAGACACAAGAAAATGTCTGCACTTTTTATATGAGAGTTAGAACAGCAGCATTTCAATGTAACCTCCAAACGAAGGACGTCCTTCTCGCTGAATGAAGAAACTCATTTTTACAGGCGTCACTGGTTCAGAAAACCAGTCCCAAAAGGGCTCGCTACAAAAGGGTTGAATGCAAGAGTCACGGCTGTTAAAAATCATCCTCATTCTATGTACGACATGCTCACACAATGTGCTAGGCTACTAACCCCTCTTCGTGTAACTCAATGTAACTCACATATTAATGTATCCCAGCAGCACCACCACCATTTATTCCTCAAGAGCTGAGAAGGTAGAAAAGGCCCCAGCGGAAGTGTTAGCGTATCCTGTTGCTATTTGTGAACTACTATACTTTTGGTGTTGTGATGAATTCCACTTCTACTCATTGTATGTGCAAAGAATAAATGTTTATTGGGCCCCAAGAAAAGAGTGGATACTACGAGCGCTTTTGTGTGTATTTGTGGCTGAGTGTCAGTGTGTCTTCTGTAATGACCTGTAGCTTTCAATGTCCAAAGCTCTGTCAAGACTGCATGCCTTACATTAAGACAAAAGGACAGTACTGGATCATTTCCTTTCTTTTCTTTTTTTTTTTTAATTTTATTTTCTAAATCAATATAGATTTGTGATCGACACAGTGAAAAGTGAATGCATTAAATTATATTTTGTTGTGGAGTAAATCCTGGTGTCTCTTTCTTAAAAAAACGATCAAGAAGCAGCAGAGGCAATGCAGAAAATTGTAATGCTAGACGGGGAGCTCTGTAAGACATATTAACCGCAGAAAACGTGGTGCATTTACACAAAAGGAAGAGAGAGACCATCTTCTTATTAAGCTTTAACTAGCTGCGTTTTCATCTTCCAAGCAAATATTCACTGGTACCAGCTTCTCAAATATGAATATTTGCTGAGGCTTTCTGAGGCTTCTGTGATGGTAAATTGAAGATCTTTGGGTTTTAGCCACAGTGGGCTCTGGGAAATAGGCATTTTCACTGTTTTCTGATATTGCAGAGACAAAACATTTATTCGATTAATCAAGAAAATAAGTGTCAAATAAAAAACACATAATACTGTATTTAATGTACTGTATCTGTAATGTGTTAGATATGTTATTTCCCATGACATTTCAAAGATTAAATGAGTAAACTAAAAGTAAAAATAACCCAATGAACTGTGTAATAAAAATAAAAAAAAATCAATGGTTGTCAAAATCCCTCAAGATATATATGACGTATGTAAGGACAGACAGTTGTTTTAGGCCATTTTATTGGTGGTGGTGGTGGTGGTGGTGGGGGATAGAGGAGGGTGTATTTCCTGTGAGTTTCCTGATTTGCACATGATGTTAACCATAAGCCACAAAGGCCACATTGTTAAGTTAATTTATAACTACTGTCCTCGAAAACGTTTGCACCTATTGAAGGAAAAGAACAGTTTGCAGTATCCTTTGAAATACACTGGATCTAATTTCTCAAGAAAGCAATTGCTTGGAAAGTAGTTGTATGACCATTGAATATTTCAATCTTAACTATTCTTTCCACCCTAAAATAAACAGCTGCTTAATTTCAGATCCATAGCAAGCTTTGGTATTAACTATCAAAATAGTTGGCAGTCAATTTTCTGTCAAGACTTTCAGCTCACTTCAGTTGTGCCTCACTTCAGCTCATCATCTGAGGAAAGGGCCTCTGACCGACTGATTTCAAACTAGTTTACTTCAAACGTTTCTGCACAGTGTGTTTTAAACATTCCTCATCTATACTGCATTATACTCACTTTCAGTCTTCACCCCTGAGAGTACAAGCTGATCCAGGAATCTTGCTGCCGCCGCTGCCACTGAAGTTTATCCACCCGGAACAAGGCTACAGCACAGAGAGGATAACTCTCAGTACAAATGCTCTTTCAGCACTTTAATACACATTTGTACACCCTGTGTGCAAGCTGTAGTTACATTTGAACACCTGCCAACATCTGGCAAACTACAGAGTGCAAGTCTGTCAGTAAATGTATTGTGGTTTAGTTTGAATCTTTGTCCTTACTGAGTTGTTGCTACTCTTGCTATCTATCCAAAACAATGCATTTAATATCTTGCAGCTATTCCCTCCTTTATCCTGATGTGGCCCAACTCTCCCATGAGTTAACACATTTGAATCAAATGTATAGATCAGCTTGTTAATGCGTGTTTTCTCGTGCATGCATGCATGTGTTTTGCATCAATGCGCAACGTGGGTTTGTGTGCAGGAATTTGTCCTACTTTTCGATGGGTGTGAACACGCGTTAACGTTAGAAAACAAAAGTACTGCAGGTACTTTAATACTTGCGAATAGCTTAGCTGTTGTGAAGCAGGAGAAAGCTCCACATCCCTCTCTGCGCCCATCTCTCTGCGAGTGTATGTGTGAGTCAGTGTGCGTGTTTGTGTGCGTGTATGTGTGTTTGTCTCCAGCTCTCACCAGGTTGGGTGCGTTACACTGAGGGCTTCCTGCTGCATCCATCCGCCTGAAACTAACAAGCGGCGGACTGTCACTGCAGGTATGTAGTCACGATTAAACAACACGCGGTGACACTAACTGTAAACTACTTGGGTGTAACGTTACCGCGCTCTGTTGAAAAATGGGTGGTAGTCCGCTAGCTAGCATGCTAACTTTACTAGTTGTGCCTTTGGCAATTCGCGCTAGCTAGCCAGTAATCTAGCTAGGTTAGCATGTCGGAGCGTGGGGGTGAGCTCCGATAGTGGCTTTTATGTCATGCTAGGCACGCTGCCAGCGGCTATTCGACATTTAACCATTTACGTTTGTATTTTAGTCGATGACGAAGCTCAGTTTGCATGTGTAAATCTGTGCATTTCGTGCAGATTTCCGTGCGGGAGTTGAGCGGCTAATGTCAACAGCTAACGCGAGCTAACGTTAGCCCGTCACCGTCAACGCTGGCTCGTCAGTTACCTGTTTACTGGAACTGGCTGCTGCATTTTTTTTTCACTTAACGAAGTGTTTAAGCGACAGCTGCCTCACTCTTTGTGCCTCTGTCTAGCACAGCTAACGGTGAAATCGTCCTTCGGTGTTGCGTTACCGGCCACCCACGGTGCAGAATAGCCGAATTAACTGACCCGAGGAGCGGGTTGTGGCTCGCGCACAGCACGTGCTGTCATTTGTCCAAAACAGGTGTTTCAGATGATGCACGCGACTTATTTGATGATTAATTAGCAGGTGCTTGGTCGCCACCTCCGTCACCTTCAGCCACAGCTCTGCCACAGGGCGTGAAAATGAAACAGATGAGGGTTTAAAATCCGACTCAGGGATGCAACTAATGATTGTTAGCATTTTGTGGAATAAAATATTGATTATTTATTCGACCAACTAATTAATTCTGCACTGTGTAATTTATCAGAAAACACTGAAAAGTCCCCCAACACAATTTCCCAGCTCCCAAGATGTCATTTCTAATGTCTGAGCAACAGTCCAAAACCCACAGCTGTTTAATCTACAGACATTCAAAACAAAGAAAAATGTTGCAGAACCTGACATTTGAAAAGCTAGAATCAGGGAATGTCAGCCATTTTTGCTTCATAAATGATTTAGATTATTAATCAGCTGTTGAATTTGTTTAATGCTGATTGAACAATCAATTCATGGACTGATCGTGTTTTGTGAACATTTAACACAAGGGCTTAGTGTTTAATCACTCGCTTCGATGTATTCAACAGGTTTTTAATAGAGACAGTGACGCTGGTGGAAACAACCTCTTGACGTCCCTCCCTCTCAGGACAACAAAGGCAGCTCCTCACACACTCGAACCACAGCAGAGCAGCAGTTTGAAAGCTTCCATCAGACTCATGACTGTTTGAAGGGACACGGCCCCACCGTGGCCCATGCACTGTACCCGTTTCCCTCCCTGTCCTCCTTATCCCTCAAGCTGACGCAAAACCCCAGACACCTTCCCCCCCTCCCCCACCCCCACCCCCACTCCCACCCCGTCCCCAGCGACTCGCCCCCTCCCAACATGGCGTCCGGCACAGAAACCGTGCACTACATCCACCTTCACAACTCGAGCCAGTCAGTGCTGGAAGCCCTGCGCACGCAGCGGCGCGAGGGCCTCTTCTGTGATGTGACCGTGCGGATACATGACGCCTCACTACGTGCCCACGCCTGCGTCCTGGCAGCTGGTAGCCCCTTCTTCCAGGACAAGCTGCTGCTGGGTCACTCTGAAATCTCTGTGCCACCGCTGGTGCCCGCTGAAACCGTGAAGCAGCTCGTGGATTTCATGTACAGCGGCTCGCTGGTGGTGCTGCAGTCGCAGGCCCTTTGCATCCTCACCGCTGCCAGCATCCTGCAGATCAAGACGGTCATTGATGAGTGCACCCAGATAATCTCTCAGAGGAAGGCAGCGGCAGGGGCGGCGAGTGCAGCAGCGGCGGCGGCCGCGGCGGCAGCAGCGGCAGGAGGAGGGATGCTCGGAGGAGTTCTCCCTAAACAAGAAGAGCGTGGTGGGGGCAAAGGGAGAGAGAGTGGCGGCAGTGGAAGCTGTTCTGTTGGTGGAGCGAGTGGGGGTGGGGGTTACGCAAACTTCTCTAACTTCATGGCTGAATGCGGAGCAAGTAACATGGGTGGTGGGATGGGGGGTACCGGCGTTAGTGTCAGTGAGAGTGGCCCAGGCCCGATGGAGCAAGCTAACACCGTGAGTCTGATGGCGCTGGGCGACATGGGCCCCGGCTCCATGTGCGGTGACGGGATGGGCTCGGGGCCCGGCACAATCCTCATGAAGCAGAGCTCCAGCTGTACTCAGGACGTCAGGTACAAGCTCCGAGACCTGTTGGCACAGACGGCCAACGGAGCCAACACTAGTAGCACAGGGAACCTCTCAGCGGGCTGCAGCTCCGGTGTGGGCAGTGTGGACAGCATCGGCAGGGACAGCCTCCGCGGCAACACAACTGACCTCTCTGATGACCTGGTGGGGATGGACAGATACAGCGAGGAGGAGGACTTGGACGGGAGAGAGCGGGGAAGGGATGGAGACAGAGATAGGGGGGCGAGCCACAGCCGCAAGCAGAGGCAGCCGCTAAGACTCCAGGTAGGGGGATAAGGGGAAGGGTTGCCATGGTTACAGCTTTCAGGCATGCAGAGCTGCAACGGTTTGTTTTTTCTTTCTTTTTCTGCTTTTCCCTCTTCTCACACTGCAGTGGCGTATATCGCTGAGATGTTTCTGCACTTTGCACAATTGAAGAGAAGCTCTCGTCTTAATTTCAGCAGTAATTGCCTTGTTGATATTCTATGGACTTCTGCATATTTACTGTACGTCATTAAACTTATTAGTACCTGCTTAAAGGGGCTGTTGCCGGGTCAATGCACTGTTGTTCTTGTAGACTATCTGCTCCCTTTTTGCTCCTGCTGCTGCTGTTGTCATCGCAATTTCTCTACAACTTGGACTGATTGAAATGGATCTTTTTTCTTTTTTCCCCTTTTTCTTCAGGTGCTGGGAGGAGAGGGAGTGGTGGTGAAAGATGAAGGGGTTCAGGACGCAGATGGGACCGTCTATGCCTTGGAGGACGGGAGAAGAGACGGAGAGCAGGAGGGCTCCCAGGAATCCATGGCCAGCTTTGGACAGGTGGGTAAAACTGCATCTGTGAGAGCTTTGGAAGAAAAAAAAGAGTTTGTAAAATGTAAAGCCATATTAGAGATGTAAAGCTTTTTTTTTATGCAAAGAATTTTAATTTTTAATTTTAATATTAATTTAATTACATTTTTCAAATAATAATGTTTGCAGAAGGACGGCAGTCTGTATAAAACATTTTGCATATTTTAAGCGTTGAAGCCTTGATTTCAAGGTAATACCATGATGAACATTTTAGCATTTTGCTTCAGAAGGAAACTTTTAAAATGACCTTTATTGTGTTGAATTCATGCTCTGCATTTTCTGTCACAATTCCTGAAGTAAGTGGAGGGAAAAAACATGGTGGAGCAGATTTATGCCGCAGCCTGCTGTACCCTGCAGACTACACAGGGAACATCTGCCACACAGTCAAAAGAATTCAGCATTGCCTGTCAGTTTCCTCCAAACTGCTGCAGAGTAAGTTACGATTGGAAATGAAACGATCCGCTCAGTTTAGGCGGCTAAGACGTTACGTTTTTTAATGCGAAGAAAAAGTATGTGATCATCAGTTTACCCAGCACAGCTTTGGATAATCAAATTCTCTGTCTTTCCGCAAGTTTTCCTCCGCTGCTCTTTAGTTCACATGAACATGATGTGAAGCAGTTCTGCAGTTTCTTACTCGGCGTATCTCAGCGCAGGCTGTCTGCAAATTAACTTCTTACAGATCATTGTGTTGTGTGTTGTGCTAGAGGTGTAATACATTTATAGCAAATGTGAAGTTTGATTCATTTGTGATCAATTTTATGATACAAACATCTGTATCTTTATGCTCCTAAATTACTGATTTTTCTCTTTCTTTTGTCAAAACCTAGTGACCTCTGAATAAAAGAGACTGGCGCCAGAACTTACGTATATTATCGTGATGAGTAACCGGCCGTTATTAAAACAGCATTATCTATTTATTCTAAAATGTAAAGTAATGTCAACCACACCCTCTCGCATCTAAAGTTAATGTGTCATGAGTCACAGTTATTAGTCACTCACAATAAGATTTTGTAAAGATTGGGGACCTTGAAGGGTCACTATTTGCAAGACTACATTCCTTTGAGATTATTTCCCATCATGCTCCGGGTGGAAATTTACATGAAGAAAAACTTTTGTTTAGTTTTTTCCAGATAGTTTTTTTTTTTTTAATTCTTTGAAATTCTACATTATTATTATTATTATTATTATTATTATAAAGTTAGTAACTCAAGAGTATAATTGTCATGATCTGCCCTTAAAATGACTGTTTGGACTTTGAATTTATGATTTCCTGTTTTATTTTGAAATTATTTGTCCAATTCCCCATGCCTCCTTCATGTATTTCATGCCGGCCTTACACCAAACCACTCACATTCTCGCGCCTCCATGTTCTCTATCAACTGGGTATAGTAATAGAGAGTTTTCAAATGTTAGAGATTTTGTCATTAAATACAAAAATATAAATATATTAAATATAATATATAAATAAAATAGATATTGTTCAGACGTCAAAGCCAAGGTTGATACAGATTGCAGTTGGATTGTGATTGGATTGGCCAGATTCCACCTGAAGGTGTTCTGGCCAGTAATCTGATCACAGCCAGATGTTAATAACATCTGTACAGCATTGGTATGATGTATGATGACGTAACTCAATTTTCCAGATGTTTAATTAGGTCAATAAACCAAAAAACAGACATTTCTTAAATGAATTTCCAGCAAATATACCATATTATAACTCATGCTGCTATGTCGGTATCGAATTACATATAATTACGTATCTTTTATCTGTATTTTATCTGTATCCTCTTCCCAAAATGGTTGGTGAAACTCCCATCAGCCGGTCTAACAAATGGAAAGTTAGACTCATGTCAGGAGTGCCTTCTACTTTGTGTTAGACGAGTTCCAGTCATGTCGCTATTTGCTCTTAAATTACTTCCCCAGCCATACGTCATTACTGTACTCAGTAATGTATGCAGCTTGACTCGTCAGACCACACCTCACAAATTTATCTGCAATGTATGGGTGTGAAAAGATTGTAAATGCATATAATGAGCGATGTAGTCTGTGCATATCTGCATATGAAAGGAGACAGAGGGCAGAGAGACTTGATTCTTCACATATGCACACATTTGTGGAGCTGAACACATACAGTATGTTTCACCAGGGGACTTTACAAGCGCAGGGACAGGCAGGATTTACACCTTTGGAGCAGGTAAGCGTCTCGGTAAATGTCACTGGGAGAACTGAAGCCAAGGCTTAACAAGGAACTGTCTGGTTGCAGTTTTGTTTACTTTTTTCTTTCTTTTTTTTTTTTGTTTTTTCAGCTATCCTTGAACTGAAGCTAAAACACGAACGCCACCAGAATCGGTGCTGTCAGGGTTTTTTTTAATCTGAGATATGTGTGTCTTGATCTTTACCTCGGTCTGTTTTGTTTGTGTGCAGGATTTCTATGATGAGCAGGGGGTGTTTTCTGAGAGTTTCTGGCCCCAGAGCGAGCCTCCTCGGGCCATGGCTTTCAACCCCAGAGGAAGGGTCAACAAGCCTCTGACTCCGCCCCCAACCACGCAGTCCATCAACAACCAGGTCGGTGTCGTACATTACGTTTAACCTGTACTGCGGTCACCAAAATGTTGCTACAGAGCGGGTGTAAAGTTAAAAAACTGTCAGAGCGCTGACAATGTATGTAACATACCATCTACAGAATGTCAAGTCAAGCATCTTTTTCTATAAACCCCCGCCTACAGAGTTTGATTGACAGGTGTGACAGGTGTGGGCCCTCATTTGCATATAAGGTTTTACAGAGTAAAGGCGTATCCATGTGGAAAGGTAAATGTAAATGGCACCACTGTCACTGACTTTTGCATCATGTAATTCAATTGCCAATGATCATTTTTTTGAAATGTGAACAAAAGAACACACACTCACAGACACACACACACACACACACACACACACACACACACAGATACACACACACACAGATACACACACACAGTTTGTAGTTTATTATTCTCACAATAATTGTTCTCCGTCCTCAGCTTCTGTTCCAGTACCCAGTGAGCCAGTCGCAGCCAGCTCCGTTCTACGTGGGCGGGCCCATGGGTGGGATTGACAGCATGGCGGGGACGGAGCCCAGTCAGCAGCCTCCGCCCCCGGCGCCGATGACCCCGGCCCCGCAGCCCTCCACCTCCACCTGCCCTGCAGGCCCCTCCCCTTCCTCCCAGGGATCTGAGACCTCGTTCGACTGCACGCACTGTGGCAAATCTTTACGTTCCAGGAAGAACTACAGCAAGCACATGTTCATCCACTCCGGTAAGGACACGCTCCTTTAAATCACTTGAACATCTGTCACAGACAGAGGATGAGCGTCATGTGATGTGACGTGAAGGGGGTTTGTTTGCAGGGAAAAACCTGCAGAGAATCATCACCTACGTTGCAGCTCTGTCCCTTTTTATCGCTTTGTGTTGGTGTTTAAAGCAGGTTCACTCACTGGTTTGAATCTACTGTAGCAGCTAGAGAGAAGTGGTGGAGACCAAAAAACAGAGCTAAAAGCAAAGTGAACATTAGACTTACATTCAGTGTCGCTCTCTGGCTGCTGGGCGTGTGAATAGGCAGCTGGTTGGTGACTTATTAGCCACATTAGCCATAATGTAATAATAAATTAAGACTGTGTGTCTGTGTCCTTGTTGTGGAGTTTTCTCTCCCCCAAGTGGAAAAAAAAAAAAAAAAATCAATATGGCATTAATGCTCAGCTTTGAATCTCACACTTCTGATTAAGATGCTCTTAAATTTCCATCATTGATAATACTTCACGTGATTTTTCCATTTGATTGTTAAAATTGTTTTTTTGTTGTTTTTTCTTTCTAAATTGATCCATTAAAAAGGACGGGGACGCCACCGCTGTCTTAAAGTGCCGCTAATGCTTCAACTATATTTATCTGACTTGCAGAGTTTCAGTTGTTAATTGATCTGAATGCTGATTCAAAGGAGGCCTTTCCTCTCTGTTAAACAAATTTAAGGGAAAAGACTAAACACTTGGATTTGTTGTAAGAGAATGCAAATATCACCTGATTGTATTCTGCATTAGGACTGGCTGAGGTGCAATACATAAAAGCTTCATTAAACTGATGTTTAATGCCGTGAACTTTTCTGTCGACACGAGACGAGATTCTTCTCATGTCTAAAATCAAAACGTTAAAAACTCATTTTGTTTTTGACGACTGTTTGTTTGGAATCATTGATTTTTACAACAGAATATTGTCATGAAGATGATGATGTGATCATAATTATCACAATATTAGCTGAAAATCAATACTGTGATGAAACGCTATGACGGCCCAGTGCTGAAATTACCAACACGTCTACTCTCTCTGTGTGTGTGTGTGTGTGTGTGTGTGTGTGTGTGTGTGTGTGTGTGTGTGTGTGTGTGTGTGTGTGTTCCAGGTCAGAAACCTCATCAGTGCTCCATCTGCTGGCGCTCCTTTTCCCTGCGCGACTACCTCCTCAAACACATGGTGGTGCACACCGGCGTCAGGGCCTTCCAGTGCTCCATGTGCGGCAAGCGCTTCACCCAGAAAAGCTCGCTCAATGTGCACATGCGCACCCACCGTGCCGAGCGCACCTTCCAGTGCAACGTGTGCCACCGGGCCTTCACACACCGCACCTTGCTGGAGCGCCACGCCCTGCAGCACGCCCACCACGCCCCCCAGGCCCAAGGCCAGGGGCGTGGAGCCGACATGACCTCACCTACCAAGCACAGTCCTCCGGCTCTGGGAGGGCCCTCAGGTATGGCTGGCGCGGCTGGCATGGTCGGCAGCATGGCCAACATGCCCAGCCACGGAGCTTCCTCCACCTAGAGAGAGGGATGGGGAGATGTAGGGGAGATGAGGGGGGGAGGTCAGTGAGCCCACTCCTTATTTGGTCCTAACAGCCTTGTTGATGTTTTCTTCTGGTGGGAACAGCACTTACAGGTTCCCATTGTTTTAGCCTAACGCCACCTTTAATCAGGGTTCCTACACGGGGCTGGAAAGCCTTTTGAAGTTTGAAACTTGTGTAAATTCATGAGGTGTTTTGGAATTGCACAAAAAGTTTAAAGGAAAAGTTTAGGAATAAAAAAAAATGTAGTTCCCTTTTGCTGAAACCCATCTTACATAGTTGTGACCCTCCTTTCATTTCCCGTGTTGTGACATTTGTTGCCGTGACGACTAATCATAAGCTACAGAGCAACATCGCTAACAATTGCACACCTTGTTGAACAGCCGTTTAAAAATCCAGTCAAGTTTTTTTTTTTTTTTTTTTTTTTGGTGGAAAGAAGTTGTGGATTTGGAAACGGAGAGTGTGTAGGAACCCTGTTTCAAAGACGCCAGAGAGTCACCAAAGAGGTTAGGAAAACAGAGCGGGTTTGGGAGTGGAGGGAAGGGAGGGGAGGGGAAGGGGAGGGGGGGACGTAGGGTTACTAGTTGGAGGTGAGGGTGGGATGGGGGTTTGGGTTATATGGAGATGCAAGTTGGGGAAATAAGGGGAAAGGATGGGCGGGCGGGGACGGGGGTTCGCAGGGTTTGATTCACCCTCAATTCATTTAATTCAGTTCCGTCAGTTCTGTTCGGTGTGTGAACTTAAGTGGAGGCCGTGTTGTAGCAGAGCGGGTGAGTGCGATGTCGCCATAACTGATTCATTTTCAAAACTATTAAAGAATAATTTTTCTTTTAAATTGGGGAGAGGTTTTAATATTAGCTTTCTCTCCTCTGTCCAGTAGTAGCTCAATAACCTTAGTTAGCTTAGCTGTCGTTAGCATGCTCAGATGAAGACAGAAGCCTCCAGAAAACGAGATCTCGTCTAACTGTAATGACAGCTTGTTATGTTGGCTGTGGTTTCTATCATCCTCTCTCTTGCAGTTTTTAACCATCATAACTTGGGCCTGGAACACACTGCGTGCGCGGCGGCTGCGTAGCGTTGTGGTTTTCGTTTCAGCGCCCGTGTTAACAGCTTAGAGTGTCTCACACCTCGCCTCGGCTGGTGTCGAGTGATGTGGAGGTTCGATGTCTCGCCTGTATTTCACGTGTGAAAAAGACCAGTTATACATGAAACAAAACTGACACCTTTCATGTGCGTTTGTCCCTGCAAAGCTGCACTTAGAAAATAATGGCAGCAAGAGTAAGAAGTGTGAGAGTTTATCGCCTCATTGTGCATCAAGTGAAGCCTTCGAAATGTTACTCGTAAAAAAAAAGTTGATGAAGTGGAACAGCGGAGCACTTACATACGGAGCACTAGTGTTCTTTTCTTTTTATCACTTTTTATATCAAGTTCTCAGCTGATGTTGATGAATCCATACGAGGTCAATATAACGCTCCGGCTCAGCTTCAGGTGGTGGAAATTTATATGAAGACAGGTTTGCTAGAGTCAAAAATGTTGCACATATCCCACAGCGGCTGTACTCCACTTCATGAACGTAGGAAAACAGGAGACAATAAGAAAAAGAATCTGACTTTAGAGTTGTGATTATGAATTCATTATGACTGATGTCATATTCTCTCACAGTGAAGAAAGAGGAAATTTAGCTTCTGAAAGAACCTTCAAAACCTGTTTGTTGTTAACAATAAAATAAAATAAATAATAATTATCAAGGTAGAACAAAAAAAAAAAAAAAAGCTCTTCCTGAATTAACTGAATTGAATGTGAATGGAGCCCGGCGCCATTCAGGAGCAAACCAGGGTGACAAAGAGGGTTGTTGATGAATGATTCGGTGAAGAAGGAAAGTAGTCCGAGCAGAGTGAGACTACAGCAGGGAGGGGAGGGGAGGGAGAGGGAGGCGGTAGGAGGAGGAGGAGGAGGAGGCGGAGGCGGCGTGACGCACAGCAGCGTGAATGAAATTCACCATCATCCATCAGACAGCTTTGTAACATTTTCCACAGGCGCCACCGGTCGGCCCCAGGATCATATACCTCGAACCAGGACGAGCCCCTGACGGCTCGGAGGGACACTATTTTCTCATTGGAAATGTTTGGGAAACATTTCAGCATGTTTTACACACACACACACACACACTCACACACACCTACAATTACCTCGGTGGTCCAAAGACAGGCATTATGCTTCACATCTTTTAAGCTACATCAAACGAAGAAACAGTGAAAACTAAAGCTAAGATAGATCCATTTACTTTTTGAAAGCTTACTAAAGTACTTCTATGTAAAATTCCTGTACATCGCTATAACGCTCAGTTTGTTATTTGTTGCTCATGTGATTCTTTGATGCAGAAATACGGCAGAACATTTAAAAAAAAAAAAAAAACTTTTAAAGTGAAAGAGCCATTCACAGGAAGTTAAACTTGGTTGAATAACTATGACAAATCAGTAACTTTTATCAGGATTTTTATTGAGTGTTTGGTTGTGTTTGTCTTTTGGGGCTCTGGTTAATAATAAATGGGAAGTGTTTGTTGCTTAAAAAAAACAATAAAAGCTTTTCTCGCAGCACTATTGAAAAAAAAAACAAACAAACTTTTTAACATTTTAGTAAAACTAAATTAATCATGAAAATGTACAATCACCCCTACAAGTTTTGACAAAGTCAAACTCGTGATAATGTTGATTATCACATTAATATTTATTACAATTTGATCTCTATGCACAATTAAGTTTGCACATCCTGTTACTTAGACCTAGATGTTGTTGTCCCCTGAAGTATTTGGCCGAAGATTGTTTTTGTTCTACTGTTTTGTTTTGTTTTTTTAACACCTAAAAGGTGATCTTAAAAAGACATTACCTGTCCCAGCTTTTTGCTCATTCTCCTTAATGTTTGTCAGTCGAAGCATTAAATGATATTCAGTAGTTTACTTGAGCTTTGTAAGAGCCTTCTAATTGACACGATTTCCTAAGCGGACGTCCCTAAGACGCGAGACATGTTGTTGAGCTTGAGAACTTTGCGAGTGATGAGATAATTTGACGAAGAAAAAAAATAAATAAAAAATCAGTTTAATCAAAACTTATTTTCATTTAAAAGAGTGAATCCAGCTGAGGTGCAGATTCAGATCCCTTCAGTCTGGACTTCACTTTAAATATTGACATTAAATGTCCCATTTAAATGTGGAAAAAAAAAAACTGCTTATTTACACGGAGCAGGCCTGGCAGCGTGTGTTCATTGGCCTCTGAACATCGCAAACGGATTTGCAGACTCGGTAGTTTTGTTTCTCCAGTGTTGTTGTGGATTTAAAAAATAATAATAAAAAAAAAAAAAAAAAAATAGAAGAGTTTAAGAGGAACTGGATGAAAACTCCTCCAACTCACTGTTGGTTATAAGCTATATATAAATTTTAACGCCAAACCTTTGGTGCTTTTTTTTTTTTTTTTTTTTTTGGAAATATTTACCTCATTTGCCGGTTGCCAACACCATGCTGTGGTCTGGGTTTGGTAAATAAGCAGTGTTGAGCTGTTTCAGAGGTTTGATCTATCCTCAGCAGTGGAAGTGGTTTTGGTGCATTTTGTCTGAGGCGGACCCTTGTACAGTACTGTAATATGTGTGCTTTGAAGCCATGTCAGCGCATTGTAACGTACTGTGTTATGCTTTTTTTGTTTCCTGTTTTACTGGGAGGGAAGTTGATAATTGTTTTTCTACATTAATATTTCTTTAACAGATGTTAAATATGTCAGAAGAAGCAACAGTCATTTTATAAAAAAAAAAAAAAAAAAAATCACTTGTCATCGTAAAACCGCATCTTTTATGTATAAAAAGACTAAAGGCATGATTTTAACTTTTTCTGAGAACTTAGATGTCGTACTCAATGAATTAATTGAATTTTAAAAATGAGTGATTTCAAAGATTTCTTTCTCCAAATAAAAAGTCTTCTATGGCACCAGGCCAGCTGTTCGTCATGGATCTCTATTTGTCTGTTGACATGTGTGTGTGTGTGTGTGTGTGTGTGTGAGTGTGTGGTCTGGATATTGCTCAAGTTGTGGGGACATAAATCTGTTGACACAATCATTGTTGTCTTCCTTATGGGGACAAGAAGGAAGTCCCCATAACATAAATCATTAAATTTCAAGGCGAAGATATTTTTTACGGTTAGTCTAAAGGTTAGGTTTGAGTAAGTAGTTATGGTTGAAGTTAAAGCTCCTTCCAGTGTAAAGGTCTGTGTCCATGTGTAGTGTGATTATAGATCAGGTCTAGCTTCTATATTAATACTGTGAAAGTATCAAAGCCTCAGTCCACAGAGAAATGCACACAGCCTGTATTCAGAAACTGAGCCTTAAAACCAGCCGTCAGGACTTCTGGAACTTTGTGATGTCACAACAAAGCAGTCACCAAGCCCCGCCCACCTGGACCCACCATCCAAACCTTGCATGATTTGGTTTCTCTGAGTGTTTTTACCTGAAATCTGCTCTATTTTTATTCAATCACTCAGAAAACAAAGTCAGCCAATCAGAAGAGAGGTTCAGAGCCTCCTCTCTTCTGATTGGCTCACCGACCTGTTGTTACTAGAGGTCCAGAGAGAAGCCTGAGAGAGGAGATGTGAAACTACACTGAGATGGTTTTTGGTTGTTTAAACCACAAATATATCTTCTTATGGATCAACACTTCAAGTAAAACACAGAAGAAGAAGAAAATATGGAGCTTTAAACTGAGTCTCCAGGAAGTATAAGTCAGTCTAAGGTCCTCTGAAGTCATGGACACACAAATGTGTTTGTGTGTTCGCAGCCTTTGTCAATACCGTGTTTTGGCAACTGCATCAAAAGGCACTGAGTGATTCATCTGTCTGTCATGTTAAAGAATGTTGTTATTGATCTTTTTTTCTTTTCTCGTTATCAAAGCTCTTGAGAAGCTGCTAAATTCTTCCATCTTGTTTCCTCCATTCCTCAAATTGATTGAATGTTTTTTTCAGTTGCTGCAGCAGTACTGTAGTTTCTTTGTCTGCATTCATCACTCAACACAAAAGTCCTCTAAGACGCTCCTCTTATCTCCGCCATTTCTCCAACTCCCAACAAATTTATCAGGAGGACAATATATAAAAGCTGTATTTTCTTGAAGGCCCATAGATAATCTTTTTTTATGTGTGTGTGCATGTGTGTGTGTGTGTGTGTCCTGCAGCTTGAGCCTTTGAAGGTCTGGCTGGTTCGTGGCTGAACTCTGGCCAGAAGGCATCTGTTACTCAACAACATCTGTTCCTGTTACTCTCTTTCTCCCAGCATGCCGAGGGACACGCAGGCTCTCCCAAGGGTGGCCTTTTGTGTGCCCCATTGTCAATTCCATCATTGTCTGCTGAAGTCTGTTCCCATAATGCCACGGGGTTATAAACCCCAGCAGAGGCCAACTCTACTGGGCTGATGATTTACAGTTATTTGTGTCTAAACACAATCAGCGTCTTTGTGGGGCAATTAAGGAGGAAAACTGAGGGGGATTTAAAGAGGCGATAGTGAGGAACAGTGAAATGTAAATTCAGAAATGTAAAGTTTGTTTTTTTCCCCTTTTCGCTTCATTCAGATGCGACTTTTACTGCCGTGAAAAAAAAAAAAAAAAGCTTTAGTTGCTTTAGTTTATTAGTTGTGGAAAAGCCACTAAAGACGTCTGTGGTGGAAACAGGAAGGGAGGAAAACCAAAAACCCAAAGTGCTGGATGTCCAGTAGGCGTTTCTCCACATTGATCTGAATTTTAGAGCCATGAATTACCTGACTTGTTCTTTAGGAGGAGAAATAGGAGTGGTAAATCTAGCGTAGGGACATTGTTTTTTATGAATAGGCCCCCTCTCTCGTCTCCAGGGAGACACTTTCAACTTCTGGCAGTAGCCAACAGTGTCGGCATAGAAAAGCCCACTATGGGGTCGCCAGGGGAAGACAACAGATGTTACTGATTAACTTTGCTCACGGACCCCGAAAGAAGTGTTTTTCAGAGCACTTGCAGATGGACAAAACAAAAGTTGGACGCAATTAAAATTTCACGTTTAGCAATATTTATTTGGAAAAATAGTCTTGGCTAATTCCTTGATTCAAAAATGGTAAAGGAGACGGTAACATAACAATTTGTACAGTACAATCCCTCTTAAATAACATTTTCTTAAAAAAAAGTCCCATTGACCTGAAGTGCCTTTGCAAATATCATCAATAAAAAAAGCAACTTAAATAATCATAACAAACAATCACAAATATACAATACAAAATAAAAATAACACAAAATCATTAAATTAACTTAAATTAAATCATAATTTTAAATCATAACTTTTTTCTTGTTTTTTTTTCTTTATTTTACAAAAGGACAATCTGTATCAAAAAGCAACATTTTTTTTTTTTTTTTTTTTTTTAAATTAAAAAAATTTTTTAATGCCCCAGAAAAAAAAAAAAAAAAAAAAAGAAAGGAAAAAAAAAAATGAACAATACTATGTCATAAATGGTTTGGAGGGCTTAGGGAAGAAAACGCACTTCAGTTAAACACAGTGATCAAGTATACATACAGTCTTCACAGGTGTAGTGATGGGTGCACAGCCCATGTGAACAGCCTCGTGAAGAACAGGCCAGTATGGCCAAACATCCACCGTTTGATGCAGTTCCTGCGCTCAGCAACGGCGTGTGGGTTAGAGAAAAGGCCTGGGTGCAAATGTTGCAAAAACTAAACTCGTAGCATCGCGTGTTTCCGCTACATGACGGCGTTCCTTAATATTTCTTTTTTGTTTTTTTGTTGTTTTTTTTTTACCCCCCTACTCCCCGATAAAAGGCAGAACAGAAAGCTAAGTGGCAGTTTACTTTTAACCGTAAACAGTTTTAAAAATTTTTTTTTTTATTTTAAATTTTAATTCTTTTTTTTTAAAAAAACCCCCGCCAGTTCTTATCCCACAGGCCGCCGCTGCCTGCGCTTAGTTTCCAGTAGAGAACCAGCTCACTCTGAATATCAGTTAAACGTCTCAGTATCAGCAGCAGTCTCAAGGCGGGACACCTCCCCCTAGGGTTAGAGCAGCATCTGAAGGAGTATAAAAACTCTCCCATAGAGCAAATGAGCAACGGGCAGCCCATTGGTGGCTCGTTACACCTGCAGACACACAGAGAGACACAAAGGGTCAGTGTTTGTCGGCCAAATGACCACAGAGAGAGAGAGAGAGAGAGAGAGAGAGAGACGTGCTTTTACACTGGAAAATGAAAACATAAAACACAAGACTCACCTCAGTTGCAATTATACATTCGTCCTTCTCTTCCGACATCACAAACACAGATTTGTACTTTGTGTCCGCACATGCAGACATTTCTGGGGCTTTCTTTTCTGATGCATCGCTTCAGGGGAGAAAGAAAAACAGACGTCAGCTTTCATCATTCACAGCCTCAATGTCGGGGGGGGTGGGGGGGGTGGGGGGGTTTGTTTTTACTTTTTAGATTTTCAATAAGAAACATTTACCATTTTAAACGTTTGCTGCGCTTCTCCTCAAACTCAAATGAGTCCAGGGACTGGCACTTGTCCTCGCAGGCTGCCTCCAGCATGGCCTCTTTAGCCGCCTGCTCGTAGTTGACCTCGTGTACAAGGTTGTAGTCTGCAGGCGGATGGCGGCTCTTGTAGCCGCTTCTCCCCGGTGAAGACCCTTCATCGGGGTCACTGCTGCAGAAGTCCATCTTCTTGTTGATATTTTTCACACCTGGCGTCGGCATCACGCTGACCGCCAGGTCCCTGTCGCTGCGGTGACAGTTGTTAGTGAGGTTGTTTATTGTCTCTCCCTCACCGGCGGTTTCTATTTGACCGCCACGCTGGACTTTTGATCGGAAAAATCCAACAAGTACGGCACACCCTGCCAGAAGCAGGAGCACCAGGGCCACGCCGGACCCAACAGCCATCCAGGGAACTTCTGTCCCGCGGATGGCGGCGTGCTCTGGCAGCAGGAACTGGCAGTTTCGGCCACCGTAGCCAGGAACGCACGCGCAGACGTAGCGGTTGTTTCTTTCGTGGCAGGTGGCACCGTTGTGGCAAGGGTTGTGTTCACAGCGGCTGATGGGTGAGCTACAGTTGCGGCCAGTGTATCCCGGCGGGCAGGTGCAGGTGTAGCCGTCTGGACCCTCCTGGCACGTCCCACCGTTCTGGCAGGGGTACGTCGAACACTCGTCCCCAGTGTGGTCGCAGTTCATGCCGGTGAAACCGTCTGGACACTGGCACAAGTACGAGTTGACAAGATCCACACAGCGTGCACCTGAGAACAGCGAGGAAGAGACATATGAGTGTTTGATCCATCAGGGCTCAGAGAAACAAACGTACACCTCTGCGAGACTCGACGCGCTCAGAGGGATTGTCTCACCGTTGGAGCAGGGGCCGGAGGTGCAGTGGTCAATCTTCTTCTCGCAGTTGAACCCTGCGTATCCTGTGGGGCACTGGCAGAAGTAGCCTCCCTCGGGGTTGTCGGCACAGCGGCCACCGTTGGAGCAGGGCCCGTCTGCACACGTCATGGCGCTCAGCTCGCAGTTGTTGCCATAGAAACCGTGAGGGCAAGTGCAGGTATATGTGTTTTCCAAATCCTGCGGGGAAAAAATAGAACAGGCTTGGCATCAAGATCTTTTCTCGCGACTGCAGCTGCTGCAGACACTTGTACACTTTTGAATGTCAGCGTTCTGGATTCGATAGATTTGCTGTGTGACGTTTTAAATTTGTGGAAGCTCCTCTGGTTTAATGTGAAGTCTGGAGCGCAGAGAAACAGGGAAAGATGGACGAAAAGGAATAAAGGCATGTGACAAAAGGTGCCAAGCCACACTGAGAAACACAGCTGGCGCTGAGCCGCAGTCAACAGCACGTCTCTGTTCTTATTCCAAGTTGCTATAAGAAGACCAAAACAACACTCACAGTGCAGCTTCCTCCGTTGCGGCAGGGGTTTCCAGCGCATTCGTTGACCTGGATCTCACAGCTGGCCCCAGTGAAGCCGGGCCTGCAGGAACAGGTGTAGCTGCCCTGGCCAGTGTTGCTACAAGTGGCTCCATTCATGCAGGGCTTGTGGTGAGTGCAGTAGTTGAGATCTGGAAAGACACAGTTGCACATGTGGATTAGCCACAGCACAACACATGGCAGGACAACAGCAGCAGCGACAGAATGTCTTTGTGTCCTCTGGCACACTTGACTCTTTCTCTCCCTCCAGTGGTTTTTTTTTTTTTTGTCTCCTGTCCTTCTGTTTATCTGGAGACAGCTGCTGCTCTGTTGTTGTTTCTGTACCAGAGTGTTGATGCTTTTATTTTGGTATCTTGGTGTCATAGTAACCTTGTTTCCTCTCGCACATACGTCTCTTTACAAGCGTTTTACATTTACTGAAAAGTTTTCAATGATGAAAGATCAGAGAGACTAAAACTTCTATCTGTGTCTTCTCACTCAGCCAGGTTTTGGTAAGTTTAAGCTGGAAAACATTTGGTGATTTGCAGGTTAAGAAATGTGCACGTGCCTTGGCCAAAACTGGGCTGAATTAACTTACAACATTAACTTACAAAAGACTACATTTCAATATGTAGAGAGGACCTGCTTCACATTAAAACAAAGCCACTGAAATGCTGCAGAAACGGGTTTTGTGCATCTGGAAAAACCAAATCTAGATCAGCTCTGATCCGGACGCCCAGGCTTCTTTCCACCTGCAAATCCCCCCCCCCCATCATCTCTTTCTCAATTTCTGTCTTTCCCACTTTCCCGCCTTGAATAGGATGGATCTCCTCACCTTGGTTGCAGAACAGCCCCCCCCAACCCTCCTGACAGTTGCACTGCCACGGCTGCTGGCAGGTCCCGTGGAGGCAGCCCGGGTAGCGGATGCACTCGTCGCAGTAGCGGCCTTTGAATCCCACTCTGCACCTGTTGTTGTTGTCCAATTAGGAGAGAGAACGCCGGTCAGTCCACTCACATTACACTCGTGTGTCCCACTAATTAATTAATGCCTCGGTGAACTGGTAAGAGGAAAACTCACTTGCACTCTCCGGGTTTCTCGCAGAAGCCGTGCTCCTCGTCGCAGCCCGGCAGACAAATCGCTGCAGGGGAAGAGAAAGAAAACACACTTTTATTTTTCGAGACTGAAGAACAACACAACTCATAAACACTGCGACTTTGGGTTTGTGCTCTTGAAGAAATCAAACTTCTCACCTACACCTTCCTAAAGTCATTCAAATAGGAGAAAGGAGTTGGGGGGAGGGGGGGGGGCTCCCAAAGCCATTAGCTGTTACCTTAAACTCAATCTCCTTATCACCGTGGAAGAATTTTCTGCTTAACATAGTTCAGAGACAAAGGAGGGAGTGTGTGTGTGTGTGTGTGTGTGTGTGTGTGTGTGTGTAGCAGAGGGCACACACACACACACACACACACATACAGACCCCCTTAACCCACCCCACCACCCTCTTTTTTTTCTTCTTCGCTGCGGGTCAAAACTCTTTTATTCATTCTGTGCTCACACACACATACACACACACACACACACACACACACACACTCCCCTTAATGTCTCGGATTGGGGCAGATAAGAGTGGACAGCTGGCGAGTGTGTTGCCAGTGCGCGACAGCTGCTCCATTGTCTCCTCTCTGCCGGCAGCTGCCCACTTCAAACAATCCCTCCCCCGCCTCGGCCAATCAGCGCCCGGCCCACTCCGAGAGTAACGAATTGGAAGGTAGCATGTAAATTTATGGCACGCGTGAGATTATTCCCAAAAACTTTCCTTAGAATAAATCAAGTGGTCGTGTGTGTGTGTGTGTGTGTGTGTGTGTGTGTGTGTGTGTGTGTGTGTGTGTGTGAGAGAGAGAGAGAGAGAGAGAGGGAAAAGCAGGGGGGAGGAGGAGGGTGCGCGTGGTGTTTACGCGCAAGTTGCCTTCTAACGGCACTCAGAGGATCTGATTATAGACCCAACACATGAACTTTTTATATTTCACATTTCCTAAACTTACACAAAAAAATATTATTATAAATTGTCTTTTAATCTGTTTATATAAAGTTTGAATCAACTTTATGTTGTTTTATCTTTATGTCCCATTTAATTCTGCCTTACACTCTAACATTGTTCCAACACACTTGCACATGCTCCTCATAGAAAAACAAAGTCTCGTAACTCACGTTCAGTGCAGTACTGTCCCTTCCACCCGGCGTCGCACACAATCTCCCCGCGCTCTCCACAGGTGAAGTGGCCGAAGGCGTCATCTCTGGGCCGGCAGAACACCGAGCAGCCGTCCCCGTAGTAGTGCTCATCGCACACGAACCGGTACGAGTACTTGAGCTCCGTCCTGCCGCCGGTGTGCAGGTCCTGGGACCACTCCTCTCCCACCGTCAGATGCCTCTGGGTGGTCATGGTGCTGATAACACGGTCTGGGTTCTCTGAAGTGCGCGTGTGGAGGCAGAAGATGAAGGGTTAATGGGTGGGAAAGGTGCGTAAATGTGACAAAATTAGAAAAAGGGAAGGGTGTTTATTTCCTACCTGTGGAGAGGTCGTCTTTGGAGTCGGTGTGTAATGCCTCAATGATCAGCGAGAAGGTCCCCTGGGAACACAAATGGCTTCATGAGACAGGTGGCCAGCGGAGATGCGGCGATAACATCAAGCAAAGGCCTGAGGCGATTGTGCCAAACACTCAGTGTGCTGGATGCAAACTGCCTAACCCGATCCGCTGAAACTGAATACCTGTAAACTCTCTGTGCTCTCGCTCCTTAAGTTGTGGTTAGAAATTGTGCCGCTGCGCGTTTTTACGCACGGATTTACCCTAAAGAAATGGCGCGATTTCGCTGCCTTTCATTTTCTAATGCGCTGACGTGAACTGTACTCACCGGCCACGTGAAGCCGAAGTTAATCCTGATGGGGTTGGTGAATGAACTCTCCGGGATGACCTCGGGGACCTGGAACGAGTTGGAGCCGAGGACGGGCGTCACGGCACCGCCGTAGGTGCACGGAGGCTCCGGAGAGGCGTTGGGCTGGTAGTGCTTGAGACAGATCCTGAAGAAGGTTTTACATTCGCACTGCTGCTGGAAGGACGAGGTCAGACCTCCTTTACAGCAGTTCTTGTTGCCCTGTACTCCCTTCTTGTTTAGGAACTCCTGCAACTTCAGCTCAAAAACTCCCGAACAAAACCCCTGCGGAGGAAAGCAGCTTGTTATCATTAACCATACACACGGTGCCGCTTGTGTATGAGTGTGTTGTGGTAGCAGTGAGGGGAGGGAGGGAGAGGAGAGAGAGGGGGGTGGGGTGGGGTGGGGTGGTGGTGATGGTTCATTGTTTGGAAGAAATAGAGATTCAATATCTTACCTGGCACAGCAACATGGACATGACGGCGAGAGTCAGCAGGATGACGCGCCCCATATTAAATAAATACATAATAAATAATAAATAAATAAAGTAAAAAGTCTCGGGGCTCGGCTGGTCCTCAGGGTGCCTCCTCCTGTTCAAACCCTCTGAGGAAGATGCATTGAGCACGTTTCTGTCGCCTCACGGGGGTTTTCTCATCAACTGCTGCCGCTGTCAGCCGNTACACACACACACACACACACACACACACACTCCCCTTAATGTCTCGGATTGGGGCAGATAAGAGTGGACAGCTGGCGAGTGTGTTGCCAGTGCGCGACAGCTGCTCCATTGTCTCCTCTCTGCCGGCAGCTGCCCACTTCAAACAATACCTCCCCCGCCTCGGCCAATCAGCGCCCGGCCCACTCCGAGAGTAACGAATTGGAAGGTAGCATGTAAATTTATGGCACGCGTGAGATTATTCCCAAAAACTTTCCTTAGAATAAATCAAGTGGTCGTGTGTGTGTGTGTGTGTGTGTGTGTGTGTGTGTGTGTGTGTGTGTGTGTGTGAGAGAGAGAGAGAGAGAGAGAGGGAAAAGCAGGGGGGAGGAGGAGGGTGCGCGTGGTGTTTACGCGCAAGTTGCCTTCTAACGGCACTCAGAGGATCTGATTATAGACCCAACACATGAACTTTTTATATTTCACATTTCCTAAACTTACACAAAAAAATATTATTATAAATTGTCTTTTAATCTGTTTATATAAAGTTTGAATCAACTTTATGTTGTTTTATCTTTATGTCCCATTTAATTCTGCCTTACACTCTAACATTGTTCCAACACACTTGCACATGCTCCTCATAGAAAAACAAAGTCTCGTAACTCACGTTCAGTGCAGTACTGTCCCTTCCACCCGGCGTCGCACACAATCTCCCCGCGCTCTCCACAGGTGAAGTGGCCGAAGGCGTCATCTCTGGGCCGGCAGAACACCGAGCAGCCGTCCCCGTAGTAGTGCTCATCGCACACGAACCGGTACGAGTACTTGAGCTCCGTCCTGCCGCCGGTGTGCAGGTCCTGGGACCACTCCTCTCCCACCGTCAGATGCCTCTGGGTGGTCATGGTGCTGATAACACGGTCTGGGTTCTCTGAAGTGCGCGTGTGGAGGCAGAAGATGAAGGGTTAATGGGTGGGAAAGGTGCGTAAATGTGACAAAATTAGAAAAAGGGAAGGGTGTTTATTTCCTACCTGTGGAGAGGTCGTCTTTGGAGTCGGTGTGTAATGCCTCAATGATCAGCGAGAAGGTCCCCTGGGAACACAAATGGCTTCATGAGACAGGTGGCCAGCGGAGATGCGGCGATAACATCAAGCAAAGGCCTGAGGCGATTGTGCCAAACACTCAGTGTGCTGGATGCAAACTGCCTAACCCGATCCGCTGAAACTGAATACCTGTAAACTCTCTGTGCTCTCGCTCCTTAAGTTGTGGTTAGAAATTGTGCCGCTGCGCGTTTTTACGCACGGATTTACCCTAAAGAAATGGCGCGATTTCGCTGCCTTTCATTTTCTAATGCGCTGACGTGAACTGTACTCACCGGCCACGTGAAGCCGAAGTTAATCCTGATGGGGTTGGTGAATGAACTCTCCGGGATGACCTCGGGGACCTGGAACGAGTTGGAGCCGAGGACGGGCGTCACGGCACCGCCGTAGGTGCACGGAGGCTCCGGAGAGGCGTTGGGCTGGTAGTGCTTGAGACAGATCCTGAAGAAGGTTTTACATTCGCACTGCTGCTGGAAGGACGAGGTCAGACCTCCTTTACAGCAGTTCTTGTTGCCCTGTACTCCCTTCTTGTTTAGGAACTCCTGCAACTTCAGCTCAAAAACTCCCGAACAAAACCCCTGCGGAGGAAAGCAGCTTGTTATCATTAACCATACACACGGTGCCGCTTGTGTATGAGTGTGTTGTGGTAGCAGTGAGGGGAGGGAGGGAGAGGAGAGAGAGGGGGGTGGGGTGGGGTGGGGTGGTGGTGATGGTTCATTGTTTGGAAGAAATAGAGATTCAATATCTTACCTGGCACAGCAACATGGACATGACGGCGAGAGTCAGCAGGATGACGCGCCCCATATTAAATAAATACATAATAAATAATAAATAAATAAAGTAAAAAGTCTCGGGGCTCGGCTGGTCCTCAGGGTGCCTCCTCCTGTTCAAACCCTCTGAGGAAGATGCATTGAGCACGTTTCTGTCGCCTCACGGGGGTTTTCTCATCAACTGCTGCCGCTGTCAGCCGCGCCGCTCTCACTCATGTCCCGAGGAACAGGAAGAAAAATAAAAAAGGATAAATCCCAAACCTTAAAAAAAATAAAACCACAAAACAAGATCTGTGAAGTTTTGAAACAGAGAAGTCCTCCAGTTCCGTTAGAAAGCGTTAATCCAGTGCGTAAAGAGGAAAAGAAAAGAAAAAAAAGAAGATGGTTCCTTGTTTTGTTTGTTGAGAAAGTGACAAATTTTAGGAAGTAGCTTTNGTGTGTGTGTGTGTGTGTGTGTGTGTGTGTGTGTGTGTGTGTGTGTGTGTGTGAGAGAGAGAGAGAGAGAGAGAGGGAAAAGCAGGGGGGAGGAGGAGGGTGCGCGTGGTGTTTACGCGCAAGTTGCCTTCTAACGGCACTCAGAGGATCTGATTATAGACCCAACACATGAACTTTTTATATTTCACATTTCCTAAACTTACACAAAAAAATATTATTATAAATTGTCTTTTAATCTGTTTATATAAAGTTTGAATCAACTTTATGTTGTTTTATCTTTATGTCCCATTTAATTCTGCCTTACACTCTAACATTGTTCCAACACACTTGCACATGCTCCTCATAGAAAAACAAAGTCTCGTAACTCACGTTCAGTGCAGTACTGTCCCTTCCACCCGGCGTCGCACACAATCTCCCCGCGCTCTCCACAGGTGAAGTGGCCGAAGGCGTCATCTCTGGGCCGGCAGAACACCGAGCAGCCGTCCCCGTAGTAGTGCTCATCGCACACGAACCGGTACGAGTACTTGAGCTCCGTCCTGCCGCCGGTGTGCAGGTCCTGGGACCACTCCTCTCCCACCGTCAGATGCCTCTGGGTGGTCATGGTGCTGATAACACGGTCTGGGTTCTCTGAAGTGCGCGTGTGGAGGCAGAAGATGAAGGGTTAATGGGTGGGAAAGGTGCGTAAATGTGACAAAATTAGAAAAAGGGAAGGGTGTTTATTTCCTACCTGTGGAGAGGTCGTCTTTGGAGTCGGTGTGTAATGCCTCAATGATCAGCGAGAAGGTCCCCTGGGAACACAAATGGCTTCATGAGACAGGTGGCCAGCGGAGATGCGGCGATAACATCAAGCAAAGGCCTGAGGCGATTGTGCCAAACACTCAGTGTGCTGGATGCAAACTGCCTAACCCGATCCGCTGAAACTGAATACCTGTAAACTCTCTGTGCTCTCGCTCCTTAAGTTGTGGTTAGAAATTGTGCCGCTGCGCGTTTTTACGCACGGATTTACCCTAAAGAAATGGCGCGATTTCGCTGCCTTTCATTTTCTAATGCGCTGACGTGAACTGTACTCACCGGCCACGTGAAGCCGAAGTTAATCCTGATGGGGTTGGTGAATGAACTCTCCGGGATGACCTCGGGGACCTGGAACGAGTTGGAGCCGAGGACGGGCGTCACGGCACCGCCGTAGGTGCACGGAGGCTCCGGAGAGGCGTTGGGCTGGTAGTGCTTGAGACAGATCCTGAAGAAGGTTTTACATTCGCACTGCTGCTGGAAGGACGAGGTCAGACCTCCTTTACAGCAGTTCTTGTTGCCCTGTACTCCCTTCTTGTTTAGGAACTCCTGCAACTTCAGCTCAAAAACTCCCGAACAAAACCCCTGCGGAGGAAAGCAGCTTGTTATCATTAACCATACACACGGTGCCGCTTGTGTATGAGTGTGTTGTGGTAGCAGTGAGGGGAGGGAGGGAGAGGAGAGAGAGGGGGGTGGGGTGGGGTGGGGTGGTGGTGATGGTTCATTGTTTGGAAGAAATAGAGATTCAATATCTTACCTGGCACAGCAACATGGACATGACGGCGAGAGTCAGCAGGATGACGCGCCCCATATTAAATAAATACATAATAAATAATAAATAAATAAAGTAAAAAGTCTCGGGGCTCGGCTGGTCCTCAGGGTGCCTCCTCCTGTTCAAACCCTCTGAGGAAGATGCATTGAGCACGTTTCTGTCGCCTCACGGGGGTTTTCTCATCAACTGCTGCCGCTGTCAGCCGCGCCGCTCTCACTCATGTCCCGAGGAACAGGAAGAAAAATAAAAAAGGATAAATCCCAAACCTTAAAAAAAATAAAACCACAAAACAAGATCTGTGAAGTTTTGAAACAGAGAAGTCCTCCAGTTCCGTTAGAAAGCGTTAATCCAGTGCGTAAAGAGGAAAAGAAAAGAAAAAAAAGAAGATGGTTCCTTGTTTTGTTTGTTGAGAAAGTGACAAATTTTAGGAAGTAGCTTTTCTTTTCTTTTTTCAGTGTGTGTGAAGGTCTTGGTCTAACCCAAGGACAGATTTGTCACTGGTCCAACATGCTTCCTTCTACTTCCCAATGTCTTTCCTCACTGTGAACTGTGCGTCTGTCTCCAGCCAAGGCCGCCTGCAGCCTGTTATATACGGCCTGACACATGCTATGGTAATAACATGCAAATGGACACCCCCCGCCACCCCCCACCCTCTCCGCCTCCCCCTCCTCCCCGACTTCACCTCCCAATCTGGCCCGGCTCTCCACAATGGGATCCCATGCAAGTGCCCCCCTAACAGCCTAAAGCAGCGCAGCACACACAGCGTTAATATCCCAGCCCAAAATGGAGATGTGTGAAAGTATCTCCGCTCGAAGGAAGAGGAAGAAGAAGAGGAAGAAGAAGAAGAAGAAGAAGAAGTGAAACTTGATGAGAAAAGTGCGAGTCGCGCACGTGGAGGACAAAAAAAAAGAAAACACGAACACATCCCACGTTTTTTAAAGCTGACACTATTTTTTTCTATCTTGTTTATTAAAGTCACAGGTTAAACTGAACATTGTTGAAGCTGGAGAC